AGAGGGCTGACCTGTGAAACTTCAAATCCGCGAGACCAGCTTTAGCGGGAGCTGCCGGTTTCTCGTTTCCATGGTTCGGGACGTCAATGATATCCCGGCTGAGGCATGCACGTTCGCCTTCGCTTTCTCTGGGCAGTATCCCGGCCGAGTTCAGCTGCTGAAGCATAGAAGGGTTCGTCATTCTCTGCCATTCGCTAGGCCAAGAATCAAGTGTTTGTCCTGTGACCCGCGGACGATGCGAGAAGACCCCCCCCCCCCCGCACCCCTCCTACCCATATCGTTGTAAGATCACTGACAAGCAACGGTTTCCATGAACTGTTTCCAAATTCCCTTCAGACCGGTGCTGCACGGAGGTTCATTTTGGTTGAAATCATGTCAGAGATGGAGGACATGAAAGAGTTTCCAAAGGCTTGCAGGGCTCATTGCCAAGCTCAAAGGAGTGCTACTGTACCGATTCGCCTGCACACTTCCTGATGCAGACTTCGCAGCTAGCCAGGGCCGTGTGCATTAGCTTGCGTAGAGCTTGTAAGATGAATCTTAGCTCTGTCTGCTTCAGAGGCCTACTTCGCGTATTCACTGCCCTTCCAAGCTGCAGCTTTCATTGGCGTTGGGCTGTCCGTCTATTACTTTCGAGGCAGCTGCAAACCCAGAAAACCCCGGGGCAGATCGTAGGACGCCGTAGGCCCGAGGCTTGGGGCTAGATTTTGGGACCAAAGTGGCACTCCCTGGTGCACCGCGCGTGGTGCATGCTAGCGACAACATGCTTCACTACAGGCGATGCTGCTTCAGGGATGATCGTTGACGAGATCCCCTTTGGCAATTCCGAGCGATATGCTGCCATATGCCTCGTCGGGCACATGCTGATCACCTATGCCGGGCTTGTACAAACTTTATGTTCTTGTTGTTCTGCGTGCTGATGGAGGAACAGCCCTGCCAGGTGATCAAAAGCGTAGTGCTCTGCCGGGGTCTTCTCAAAGAATTCCATCGCCGCGATATGATCACATCCAGCAACACCTGGGCGGCATGGCACTACATGGCCGCCTGGCGTGGAATGGTTGGAGGGTGTGCGGAGGCAGGCCAAGGCGAAGGTTGGAAAAGGTTCCATAAGGCAGACCTTTCATCACGAGGTCTTGGCCGTTCTTGCCTCATCGTGGCTCCTGGCCCAGATCGTCCCGTTCTTTTCAGACCTCGTGAACGTGCTTGGTAGCACCTTCACTCCAACCATTGCTTTCATGACGCCGATGTTTCTCTACTTACTCCTGGTGCGAGTCCAGGACCGGGCGTGCCAGAGTAGCACCTGGATGCGGTAGCATTTCTGTCGTTGTGATGGGCCTGCACAATGCTTGCACAAAGATGGTTCAGACTCATTCTTCTCTCAGCTCTGCCGGCAATTCAGGACTTCACTCCAAGCCGGCTGGAAATGGTGGCCATTGCGGTCGAAATTGCCGTTTCCGTCGTCATGCTTCTGTACGGCGGGGTCCGTTCTTGGCCTTGGTTATAGGACAAAACTTGTTCGTCCGGCAGGGCTTCACATGGATGCACAGAACCGCCCCAAACTGAATTGAACCACATCCGAGCTCCGCTTCCACCCAAGATCTGTCTGCACCTACTGCTCTGCTGTGCACGCTCTGACAAGCAGTGCCTCTATCAAGAAAACCGCAGGTGGAACCACTCCACCGGTTTTCTGATATCCAAGAGGCACATGCCAAACCGAACTACACTGTAGAGGGGATCCTCGAAGGCAAAGAGAATTGGGTGGTGCAAGACGCGCAAAAGACATCCTCTGTAACCTTCCGACAGAGAAGGCCATTGGGCGGGAGGGTATTGGGAAAAAAGAACGAAACTAGACCTGATCAGATCGGCCTCGAAAGGAAATATCGAGGAATGAAAACATGTGAGCACGATATCCTTCGAAAAGTTCTGTAAAAAACACACAGACTGTTTTGGCACAAATCAAAATTCGGCATCGCTTCGCAAGTTGAAAGAAGGAAACTTAACAGTGCAAAATCTGCATCTGACAAGTGGCCCAAGGATCTGTTCACCCTCACGATGCGCCGTTGCTTGTGGTTTTATTGTGTTTTTTCACGGGGGGCAAGACTTTCCAGCTTTGTGATTGCGAGGAAAGGTTTGTCAAGAACCAGACATCAAGTTCGTTCATGTCTGGAAAATGCACTGTCTCTGCATGTTCCTGATCATATTTGAGCGTTGAGATGGTTCGACTTGAGCGAATCGGAGTCATGTCTTTTCTTTTCCGAAGTTCAGATTTGTCTCGAGCCATGCAACAACCTCGCAAGGCGCATGCTGTGTGGAGGGCAAGGGCGTCTGGTATTGCAAAAAGCGACACCACGGCGGGCACCAGGGACTGGGAGGGTCACTTGCGGAAATACAGTATTACAAATACCGAAGCCACCACAGCCTTTGCTTACCGGATATGCGCAATTTCTTTTCGGCAAACTGCAGCAATCGGAGCAAGAAACCGTCGACTCAGGATAACTCAGCTCTGAAAGTGCAAGGCATGGCACATGTAGCTTTCTGAGATACCTGTACAGGGTGCTTCACCACCTCGCGGAAACGGCCATATCTAAAGCGTAAACAGAGCAGACACGAGCTGTCATGTCGTACACGCGAGCAAGCAATGAAGCAAAACCCTCGACCACGACCGGCGATGGATGGATGACAGACGATGCACCCCTCCCCCCCTCCCCCCCAAGAAGCCTTCCAGAAGTGACAGTCACGATGCTGACTCTTGCTCGTGTCTACGTGACTCTATCCCGTTTATGCGCAGGCAGAGTTTTTCCCTCTCGCATGGCAGGGATCTATGCCCACAAGAGAGGTTGCTTTGGGAGAAGCTGTGACGTACGCAGCAACATGTCACAAGCAGTTGCCGGACCTTGACTCCAGCTCGCGTCCCTCCACTTGCTATTCAGCAATGGGAGCTTCTTGATGCGCAGGCACAGTGTCGAATGGCATACATATCTTCGAAAAGTGGAACAGCTACGGCTACCCGTTTGCTTGCCATTGCCAGAATCTCTGGAGCCCGGGCTGCACAGGTCCTAGGATCAGTTGTGCCTTTCTGAATTCCTGAACAGTCGATTGTTTGAGGCGGACTTGTGAGTGCTCTCCCAGCAGAATGCAATGCCCGGCATGACGGATGGACGTAGAGATGAGTGCGACTTCCCCGTGCCAAAAAAGTCGACATGAAAAGACATGCTGCGCCAGTGTGCACAAGCTGATCAGATCGAAAACAGCACCTGCTGGGTTCTTTCGCCCAGGCGTTGCTCTCGCAATGCCCTCTGGATTTACGAGATGTCGTGAATCCAAAGGCTGGGCGAAACGACACTGGCGCGATGTCGCTTATCTACAACATGCTACCGTCCTGCTACTGTCCAGGAAGCGCATGTTGCTTTTCAGTACTCGTGCAGATGTTCGCCTTCTCGAGACATTTACTGCAGCTTGCCATTCGCTTTACGGATTCGTAGCCATTGCCAGTCCATGGACGGATGCAGGCCACATCTGCTGCTGACTTTTGGCAGTTGCGGCTGACTGCAACTGCGTAGCTTGGCAAATCATAGCTACGAGTAGCGATTTTTGGTGCTCTCGCAGTCTTTCGCATCTCCTTAAAGCCCTTTTGCCGGCATTTGCTTCAGCCTGCACGAGTGCAAGACGCCGTCGACTGCTAAAGAAGTCGAAGCACACTTCCCCTCTTCACAAGTAGAGCGACCCCAAGCTATGAAGAAGTGCAGCCGCTACATGGCACTGTAAGCAGCACTGACTCCGACATGGCCAGCAACCGCAGGACTGGCCAAACCCCAGCCTTCGAGAAAGAATCAGTAGTGAAGCAATGAAGTGTCCTGCATGGAGATGGCCACTTCTGTGTTCTCATGGCGGCTGGCGACCACGTACTGCACACTTTGCAGGCAAGCTTTATGGCAGTGCTTTTGCACCTTCGCGAAGTACCTTGTTCTGTTTAGTTGTGGCATACTGGAGCCATAGCCACTTATCTGTGACCCTGCTAGTCTTAGCACTGGTAGTGACCCGGGGTTGCCGATGCACGCTGGGACACTATCGCTATCTAGTGCTAGTGTAGTGACTTCAGATCATTTGAGTGTGTGCAACTAGCTTGCATGTAAGTCCATGGGATCTGTTTGGCCGCCGAGAGATCAAGCTCGATACACCGAGCAAAGACACCACGCGCTCGAGTTGCGTTTTTGTGCAGCCTGGCGTGCCAAAGCTCCTTTTTTCGAGTGGCCCTCGACCTCTCGCTTTGGCGACTCGTAGCTGCCATAGCGCCGTAGCACTCAGCTAACTCTTTTCAGTTAAGCAGCTTGGGTCGCTTTGTGTGGGGGACTAAGGTGCTTTCACAGGTCGGGGCCGCTCGAGGAGTTGGGACGTCAGGGGCAAGGCGCCGTCTGCTGGCGTCGAAGACTTCGAGGACTTCCAGCAGGAAGCTGGTGCAACGAAAGCATCTTCGCCAGCGAGGGACATCATTTTCGAAGATGTGACTACTGCCTTCGAGGATGTGGATGGCTTGAGTGACTGGGAGGCCTCTAATGCACCCCCCGAGAAGGAGGTGCAACCCAGGAAGCCGGCACCGATGAGCGACGAGGAACTCGCGAGCGCGAACCTCCTGACCCTGGCCAGAGACGAATTTGTGTGGGCAGTTGGACGTGCTGCGACAATTGGGTTGTCTCCTGAAGCTCGTCTTTGGCAAGACGTACCAAATGCCATCCTAACCCTTGGAGGCGAGAACGAGCTATCTCCGTCGGAGGTTTGCCGGCTACTTCAAGCTTTGGCTTATGCTCCAGCCAGTGTTCCTATCGACATGTCCATGCTTCAGAAACTTTTGAAGGTCTTTGCTCTCCGTGCGAAAGAGTACAGTGATGAACGTTTAATGCGCGTGGTATATGCATACGGAAAGCTCGCTGCCAAGCGTGGTTTGCAGCAGACTCGGTTCATGGATTTTGCGACTAGCGAAATCGTCGAGCGAGACCGAACTTTACGATCCTGGCGGAAGGTCCGCATCCTTGAAGCAATCGGGTCCCTACCTGAAGCTGGACCTGAATTCAAAACTGTCTTGGTGGGGCAGATCATGAAGACTGGCCTGAAGAACCTGGATGCCGAGTGCATGGGCCGCTTTGTTCACATGGTCGTAGATACGAAGTACCACGAGCGCTCTGGCACAGTCCAGAGGCTAAACACTATATATCAACTGAAGCTGAAGCATGTCCGATTCAACAACCCTGAGCTCATCCTCCTCATGGGCCTGCCAATGTTTCTGCATGATTTGATGAAGACGTCCGTGCTCACGCGTTGGCTGGACCGCCTCGCACGGTTGAGGCTACCTGTGGAAGCTGGCAGTGCACCGCGAACTCGCGCGACGACTCGCTCAGCAATTGTGGTGGCCCCTGACGAGCAAGCCGAAGAAGCACCACGCAAGCGACCACGTAGCTATGCTCTCGGCCCAGCAAACTCGACAACAGCAGCCAGGAACCTGGAAGGGCTGAAGTTGGTGGAGTTCGTGCTTAGGCACGAGAGACCTGGCATTATGCAGTCCTTGACCCCGGTGGCAGTGCAACTCTTGTCTACTGTGAGAGAAATGCAGCTGAGACCACCCGATGACTACCAGATGCTTGAGCTTCCACACGTGTACAGCGAACTTTCAAGGCTCTTCCCAAAGCTTGGGGTCCTTCTGCATCCCAGCATCTGCGGACCATACCTGCTGGAGCTGGCGGATCCACTCGGCTTGGTCGTTGTTGAGTGGGACCAGGGATGGCTTTTATATCCGCCATGGAGACGAAAAAGGCACCAGGAATTCGTGTTGCGGAAGCACTTACACTTGCGCGCCGAGGGCTGGAAAGTTGTTACACTGCCTCTTACAGAGTTCCAGGAGCTCACGACTCGAAGCGCCAAGCTCCATTATCTGGAAGGCTTCATCGCCAAGCATGACATGGAGCATTTGCGTGTCGAAGCATCGACCGCCGCCTGCACGCCTAACGTGGAGCAAGGTTGACAAAGAGTTGAGCGTGCAGGTCTGCGAAGCATGTTGGAGTTATCTATAGATATCTGGTTTCAATCGGGTTGGTCAGGGCGTTTCCATTCTGCCATAGAACTGAATGGGATGATTCGGCGGGACGTGCAGCTACATAAAGTGCTCCAAGATGTTAGAGCCAAGTTAGAGCTCCAAAATCAGCCTATGTCAGAAGGGGGTTTCCTATTCGCAGGACTGGAGCGGAGCAGTTCATGAGCCGTGCCCGAGCATTAGGTTCTGTCGCTTCTTCCTTCCATCAAGGCTTCGCTTGCATGACGGCTTTGCCAGAGCTTCACCAGAAGCTCTTGGAAATAGTTGTGGTGACGTGCCACGAGCACAAGCAGTGCTGTGCCACGACTGGTGTACGACGACAGGTGCTGTTGTTGCTAATTCTGTTCCTGCTGCAGCTTTTATGATAAGTCTCGTGACTGATGATTTGTTATCACCTGAAGTAGTCAGGCTTCAGTCTGCGAGGGCAGCTCAGAATGCAGAGACCCGAGTGGCCCCCTTCGAAAAGAGCCCCGACTGCAGCAAGAGGAGCAAAGGGTCCTGAATCGCCACAGCGTACGAGTTTCACTGTTGCACGGGTTGGCTTGGACTGTGGCCGTCTTGTCAACCCATCTGAGGACTCCACTCTTGGTTTCTCGGCCATACCTACACCCTGAGGGAAGTGTCGGTCGGTGAGCCCGTGCGCGGTCAGACATCCACATTAGAGCCGTGAGACGAGGGTGGTGTCTGTAGCTTTCCCTGTGCTGGAATGTCACATCACGCGGAACACGGTCAGCTGCTTCTAGACTCTAGACAAGTCGAACCACGCCATTTTAGGTGCAGGTAGGTGTGCTGTCCGGTCTGCTGCGTACTAGTAACTATATGTTAGCGATTCGTGGGACATCTGGCTAGCAGCTAGCAACTTGTTCCAGCTTGTCAGCCTGAGAACAGGATAAGCGGGATAGCAGAGGGACTTCGCGCCTTGAGGCAGCCAATCGGAATGGTCATGGCACCTCGACGAAAATGAGATGTGCCGCCACTTCTTATCACTAGGTCCAGGTCTATCGGCACTACTGCTGCGGCACCGAGCACACGCCCTTGTTTCCTGGGTCCTGCGGCCTGAGGTGTTCCGTCCCTAGAGCAGTTGAAGGTGTGCATGCGATTCACGAAGGACCGATGTGGGAGCATCAGGAAAGTGCTGTGCTGGCCCCACCCCCGTGCTCGGCTATCAGGACGGCAGCATCTACCAGCTTCCAAGTGCAAATTCCTCCATTCAGGCAAGACATGTTCAGACACCGACACGCGAACCTTGATCTCAGACGGGCCGCATATCACTCTCGCGCAAGGCGAGCCTCTGGCAGTGCCTGGTGACCCCGCTCTGGTTCAGTTTCAAGGGGTCCAACTCAATTTAGACGGCAGACCGGAAGTTTGGCAAACAGATGCGAACAACTGCGATGTGTTTCTTCTGTTCGGTTTTCTATTGGCCAAGCCAAGGTTTGGATTTTGAGGCTGCTTCAAGTGCTGATGCCAGCGCCTCTCGGTTAGTGCTAGTACGGGAAAGCATGTGCTCCCGATAACCAGATGATCTTGCGTTTCATGCTTGCGCCAACCAGGTTCTATTTCGTCGTGAACAAGCCGTGCAGCCACCCAGATGACGCGACCGCCACCAGCAAGTACTAACAGCAACTCCAGCGAGAGACAAAATTCGGCGTCAAACAGCTCGACAACACTTTGATCCACATGCGGGTGTTGATGCGAGAGCTACCACCCGTCTTGTTGCAACACTTGTTCCGGGCTCCTGAGCTTGTGCACCCAAGCATGGTAGGTAGTCATGTAGATAATGTTCCAGCTGCATGAGATAGCTCTTAGCCCTCAGGCGGACTGCAACCATTTGTTAATGTCAAGAGCATGGCGCCTTATTACAGTGGCTGCCGTGGTCGCTGCCGAAGGCGCGAGAAAACGCAAACATTCAGCAACCTCAGCAGCTTTGGCCTGGAACTCCGTTTGTGTTTCTGGGTGTTACGGTCGCAGGAGGTCTCGGCGAAGAAGCGGCTCTGGAATTTGTCGAGACTCGGCTCCGAGCTGCTGCGCCCTCGCTTCACTCACTTGAGATCCGAACATTCCTGAATAGAAAACTCCTGCGGCAAAGCTGTGTTTCACAGCGTTTGTTCTGCCAGCCCTTGTTTTTTTCTCGCTCCCTTCGCGCTCCCCGTCCCTGTCCCTTCATCTCTCCCCTCGCCTTCCCTCCCTCGCTCCCGTGCTTCCATCTGAGGGCATTGGCGATGCCAAGCTGTGCTGCGAGCAGGTGCTCAGGCGAGTGGTGGCTCTTCACTGCGTCCCTTTGTTCGGCTAACGGTTCAAACTCCAGTAAGTAAGGCAGAGTTTGATGTCTTGCAAGAGCGACGATGGCAACTCCTGCCGGTGGTGGCAACCTCTACACTCCAGCACCAGATTCCTCTGAGCCGTGCATTTCGATTGCTTAGAGAATCTGCTTCAGGCCGGGCTTCGTTGAACGGTCTGCCGGCATTCCTTCGGCTCGATTGCTGACGCCTGCATGCTCACGAGCTGCATCCAGGAAACATGCAGAATGAATGAATGCGAAGTCTTCGTCGGATTCTTGTGCATCACTGGTGGAACCTTCTGAGAATCTTCTTCCTCGCCCAATTGAAACTGAAATCTGCTGCCAGGTAACTGGCAGCGGATTCTGCTCTTCAAGTTCTCCTCGCCTGATGCTGCTGATGAGGCCTGGAATCCACACTTTCACCTCCATTCCTCCTCTCCACCTTGGCCTGCGAGGTGGATTTGCGACTTCTGCTGCAAATCTGTGAAACTTGGGGCAAGCTGGGCACCCTGGGCAGCAACCAGAAAGCAGACCAAGGATGTGAGAGGATCAAAGGGGGTTCCTCCAAGCCGGCCCCCCAGCCCAAAGTAGTTGAATGAAGCTTTGAGTCGCTTGCCAGGTCCCAAAGATGGACTCCTGACGAACAGCCCCAAGAGCTTGTCACCTTGGTGGCGTTCCATCGTGGCAGCCATGGATGGCATTCCTCTAGCTCATCGAGGCATTGGCTCGAAACCGAAAGACATTTTGCGTGGTTTCCTCTCCGAAAATTGCTTCAAAGTTACTTTCAACACACAAGAGGATTTGGGTCACCGGGGTTTGTCTTGGAATGTTTGTAAGGGAGCGAAAACATTGAAGTGGATCGGTCTGCTTTAATTGCACATATAGGTTTGGTTTGGACCTCAAGGCATGCCCCGAACGTTTCTCTGGAGTGCCAGGCTTCGCACAGTTTGCAGCGGCAGTTGTGCAACGAGTCATTTGCGACTGGTGGCACACGCAGGGGCAGTCGCTCGAAGCATCATAGTGTGTTGACATGTGTTGACTCAGTATTGACAGTGTTGAGCCAGACCGCTTGCCCCGCTCTTGTGTCCGAACCGCGAGAGTTGAACAGTTGCGAACTTCGGAAGTGAAGCTGTATATGAGAGGTAGTGGCTGGCAAACAAGGCAGACATGTTAGCATTGGTGCCACGTTCTCCGTGCTTTCCCCGCTGTTTTGGCACCAAGGAAGCTGGTAGTGGGTTGGAGCCCCATGTGTGGGTGGACAGCTTGGGAGGCTTGTTCCAGCTTTGCCAGCTTCTTGCACCAATGTGTGAGTTTGGTTTCCAATGGGAGTCCTGCCCAGACGAGGAGGACGAAGCGTGTGATTGCGCATCATTGCACAGTAACTTGGACCAACAGAAGGACTGGCGAACGTCGATGGCGATACTTTGAAAGTCTTGGCATGTGGATCTAAGCGTTGTGCTTCCATGACACCAAGGAGATCACATACGTCGATTATTTGCAACAGGATTTCCTGAGGACAAAGCGCTTACTGGAGTCACTGGAGCTAGCGCTTCTGGGCAGCAGTAGGCCTCAAGCTGGTTTGACACAACCCGGCATTCTGAGAATAGTCTGGGTCGCCATCTTGCACCGCCGACTTGACCAGCTATAGGGCCATAAACAATGAGCGGATTCGGGTTTTGAAATGCCGACATGTTCCGACTCACAGGATCGACTCTTTGCAGACGGTGGCTTTGTGAACGATCCCAGTATTCACACCAGCCACCTTCGCTCTCTGGCTTCGCGCGGGAAGGACAAGCCGCCGGCAGCTCAAGAGAAGCATAGGGAGGTGATGCCAGTGGCAGTCGACCTGAAACTTGCCTACCTAAAGGTGGTCACGGTTCCTGGTGCGGACGCCCACGATTCACCAAAGAGATGCTCAGGTGGCCAGCCAGGCACGGGTGGAATGAGCCCAGCCTTGAGGAATCACACATGTGGCAAACGCAGGATGAGCAGAGAGGAGTACGAAGGAAACGTCTGGAGCACCCGCTTTTAATTCTTCTCTAGGCAGGGGTCTCCACAGGTGAAGTTTGGAGAGCGCATGGCTACGGCCTCGCTGAATCTGGCCGAGATGCTCGGCCACCAGACTCTGACAATGTCGGAGCTCTTGGACCGAGCAGGGGAGCTGCGGAACCCTGGCCGATCTTGAGGTTACAGAAGCTAGAGGCATGGGTTCTGATCGGATTCTTGAGGACTCTGCCGATGAGTTTGCGCCATGCACAGGTTTCGGGATAAGCGAGGTAGCTCTTCGTGATGTTTTCATAACCCTCGTCGAGCTTCGGAGCGATCGCGGGCTGGAAGGGTACTGTAGCAGTGTGCTTCGCGGTTTGACTGTCGCATCTCGATCTCGACATATTCGTGCTTTGCATGTGTCAGCCCCGGTCGCATGCCGCTGTCCACAAGGAGCGACTCTGCTTCTGAAGACCAGCCAAAGTTCGGAATCCGCCGTGTCTTCCAGGAGAGCTCCGGCATTTGTAGATCAGCATGCCTGACGAGCCATGGCAAACAGACTTTGCATGTGCCTACACATCGGTGATTGCGAGCTTGCGACAATCACCATTTGCACCACTCGAAGCTGTGTCTTGAGGACGCAGAGGTCGGTTTCTCGGCTTGACTGGGACAGACTCGACTCTAACGTTAGCTACTCGTGGCAGCATGCGGTGGACCAGCTCAACACGCCTGAGGCTGAGTGCAGAGACACTTAGCACCGCACAGCATTTCCACGTTTAAGGAGCATCTGTACCAACAAGATTTGATCAGGTGCCGTAGCATCAAAACAACCCTCACATAATTCTTGGCTAATCATTCAGATATGGGCACCAGAGATGTTTCCCCCAAGGATTCCTGTAACGCTTATAGACTTAGAGCATACCCGGCGAAGGGAGCCCACAGCTCGTGGGAACTTCGACCGCCTCTTGTCCCCTCAGGCACTTCGGTGTCGCCTTTGCGTCGGTACGGCCGCTTCCTGCCTGCCCGACGCTTTGTGGAGCCTTCGGCGGGCCCTCGCACAAAGAGCCCTTCCCAGCACATGGTGTGAGTTTGGGCCATGAGATGTAGGTATTCGACGCGCCTGCTTCTTAAGTAGCATGTGAATGAGGGAGGGATCATGGGAGTTGCCTTCACGGGCTGACCTCCGAAGTCAAGGGCTAGAGATCCACTTTCTGCTGGAAGGGTCATAAGCTGTCTGCAGCCCTTTTGCTGGACTTGACTTGCAGCAAAGCCTTGTACTACTGCAATACCAAAGACTCTCGAAGTCACGCAGGCATGGTCGATCTGCACTGGTAAGACCGCACAGGCACTGCGCCGCTACGGTCACTTCTTTGCGAGTCGATGCAGACATGTGCAGGCTTGGTCGCCTTTCGATACATCCGTCTTTGCCCAACAGGGTCTTTCCTTGAAGGCGCGTTATTGACTCGCTTGGCATCAACATGGCCAATCCAGAGCATAACGACACCGTCAAGGAAAGGCGAGTGCGTCATGAGCGTAGCACTGCTGAGCGCATATTTGCCGCAAAATGCCCTGAAGTCTTGGCCTGTGCGAGAAATCGCCCAACGTGCAAAGTCACGGTTGAAGTTAAGACTGGTCGGAAGTGTACGAGTGTGGAGCCGTGAATGACCCGACGCAGGCTTGCAGGAATTTATGTGGGCGACGACTGTCTTGTCGTGTTGACACGCACGGCAAGATCGGCCCTGGATGGATTGCTTCGGGGTTGGGACCCGCTGCCGGCTTGAGTCGCACGGAGTATCGTTGCTAGAACGAGCTATGTGGGTGCACGATGCAGGGTCTGCGCACTGGCTGCTCGGCTTGCCGCACTGGATGTCCATCATCTTCTATATCCGTCTCAGACATCCGCACCATTCACGAATATGTCACGTTGGTTTGCAGTAAGAACTATGTAGGTATTTGTATGCATAATTCCAACACCATTTGATTGCCTGGAGGACTGCTTTTCCTGGTACGGCCAAGAATCTGCTCCTCATTTTGACAGGCAGGCCGACATGCATGCCCGTGCAGGCTGGTTGCGATTTGTGAGCATGTTGACAGGGGTCGTGCAAAAAGCAGGTGTATCAGGTACTGGACAGGTCTGGCCTTCTTTGAGCTCCTGCTGGTTGTACGCGCAAGTGAAAGCCTCTCGGGAGGATGTGGGGCGTCATCCTCCATGCATCTGTTCTGGCCACTGAGATAGCCGTCCAGCGAATGACGCAGGTGCCGATTGTGCTCTCGGGGTTGACTTGTTTCACATTCTCCATGGCACCCAGGCTTAATCTACGTGGGCCAGCATGGGTCGTAAGCAGACAGCCATGACCATCAGCACGGGCATCTGAGCAGGAAGTGTTCACCAGCAATGCTAGCCACTTCAGATTGAATCGACAAAAGTACACTGAACACGCGACCTACTGTAGTAGGACACTGGCAGGTGGAGGCTTCGGGATCAGAAAATCCATCGTGGACACCGCCCAGCAAGTGAAGCTATTCGCACCATTGCGAAAGCACCGCACCCACCAACACTCCCGGGTTCGCGATGATGACCGCCCACTGATTCCGCCCGGGATGCATCACCTCAATCCGTCAACTGAGGATCTTAAGGCCTTGTTCTTGTTGCTCACTGTGCAGGTGGAGCTTCACCAGTACCGGCTTGCTGCAGCGTCCTTGGTGCCTTGGCGTATAAATGTTCGTCTAGTTCTTTCGATCGCATCGCAGACGCTGCATGGAAGCGTCTACGGAGCTAGAATTGCACACTCCCAGGACCAGCACTGCGAGCTCCCGAAGTTCTCTGGTCAGCCTCCAGCAGCGACCTCCTTGGCCTGGTTGGAGCGGAGCTAGCCAAAAGTGTTGTGGGTGTGCTTTTTTGTGTCTAAGTCTCACGTCTAACGGTGAACCAGCATCTCGGTTAGCGGCAATTCCGGTGGTAGCCAACGGTTCGAACTGTAGTCACTTTAGTCCTTGAAGCTGGTCACCGGGGCTTCCTTGAGCCCGCAGCAGTGCTACAATGCACTTGCGTTCTTGCAGGAGTTACAACGCAGCATTGCCAGCCTTGCTTGGCTGAGTGAGGACCTTGGATCATTCGTCTGGGTTGGCCCATTTGCAAGAACATGGGATGCTTCACACATGTTTCTTTACAAGCACAAGCCAGCCCAAAGGCCATCTTTCACGATTCAGGTGAGCCCCGGCTTGGGGTTGTGTTGATGGTGTTGTTCGTCTCTGAAGTGCCCTTATCCCTTGTGCTCCCTGACGCCCTCCAACAGCTTTTGACCCGCTGAACCGAGGCTTCAACGCCCTGCCATACAAGCGTGGTACACCAAGCACGGCGCCATGGGGATAAGAGTCTCAAGTATTCTATTGTCGTTCCCGTCGCAACAACATGGGGAGTCGTCTGGCCGTCCTCGCCTTGCTCATTAGAGTTGCAAAGCCGTGTGTGCCATCAAGATCAAGCTTAACTATAAAGAGAAGGATGTCAAATAGATTCTGCCTTGGACAGTCCAGCAACAGATCACACCTCATGTACTGGTCAACTTCGAACCTGCGCGCGCTCGCATCGAGACCCCGTGAACTCTGTTGAAGCATGTGGCGCAGACCAGCAAGTATCGATTTGTTTGCTTGTTGTTACTGCTCGATACGGACGTCTCCCGACGGCAGGAGGTATGATACCTGTAATCTCCTCCTCCAAGGTCCGTTGTATTGCATACCATTCTCGCGAACATTCGGGTTGCGAATGTGGCACTGCGCCAGGAATGTAGGACTGCAGGGGAACTGGGCTGCAGGGCCCGCAGGCTGCAAAGAGTCACAGGAACGTAGGAATGCGGGAGGACTGCGGACTGGTAAATGAAAAGCTCAGGAAGGGCCACAGGAACGGGAGCCTTATGAATTATAACTACGGGCCCCTGGTATCAAGTCGTTTTTTGCGAAAAGCCGGGGGCGGGGAAAGTACTTGTAGTTGGCAAGCGATCTTGTGTCTGTAAGCGCGTATCCACGCCGAATCGCGCGGTGTTCCCTTGCAGGTGCTGGTCATCCATCATGCTCTTTGGCTGGCACTCTTTCCGGCGGAAGATCGCCAAGACGTTCTGGTTCAGTGCATCCCACGAATCCGGGAGGGCTTCTTGGCAAAGCTGCATTCGGTACAGTCAACAGCAGGTCTGGGTCTGGTGCCAGCATACACGGGCGAACAGTCTCTGTCAGTTCTTCTACAAGAGACTATCTGAGACAATCCTCAGCAGTGTTGAGAGCACGAGTTGCATCCTGAATGAGAGCGTTTGCTCCCAAGCCAAGCCTTTATTGAATCGAAGGTATCGTGCCCGACCTGGAAGCTTTCTCCACTGACCTTGACGAGTTCGTAAACGAGAGGCTCGCTTGGAAGGGTTGTGCCTGTTTTCGTGCTCAAGTCGCAAGACCTTGCATGTGGCACAGGTGGTGGCACATCTTTGAAGAGCTGGCAGCAGCCGAAAATTTGCTGAGCTGCCTCAGTAACCGCTTCGAAGGTGTCACGCGCTGGAAAGATGGGACGAAGCAAGCTACATTCGATGTCAGCCAGAGCGTGTCGAATCCCCTGCCAGCCTACACAACTTATTGGCGACCGAGTTTCTCAACAGCTCCCGCCGTAGTTTGAATTCCATGATTGAGGGCTGTGGTCCCCACGACAGTCAACAACATGCCCTGAGCGATGAACAGCAGCGTGCCATCTCCAAAAACGACTTGTTCGCAGTAGCAACGATCGGCGGGGTGCCATAACCGATGGTCAGAGCCGTATGTATGCGCAAGCCCTTCAATGACAAAGCATCGCCTTCACCTGGTGTTCTCGGATGGCGAGCCTTGGTCTCAAAAAGACAGCGCCGAAAATAAGAGATCCAAGCATTTGGAGTGGTTTTCGTCTGCAGAGTAACAGTGTAGCAATGCTGTGGCCGGTGCAACGTGGAGCACCACCGCGGACTCGTCAGGTTTAGCCTGAACATCACGAAGCCGTCAACTTGATGGTGAAAGTATCTGCTCTTCTTGGATCTACCAGATCTGTGGCATGCGTGGGGCTCGCAACTTTCACGGCTAATCGCTTCTTCGCCACGAGCTGGGGCTTTGCCCTGCCGAGGCAGGCAGCCGACATCTCTCAATTAAGTCTTGCACCCGATGGAGCCAACAATAGCGGTGCAGCAAAGTCCTCGGCAGGCGGCCGCTGAACGAGGAAGTGAAGTTCCAAGACTTGACTGTGGCTTGTCAGCTCGGCTTTACACGAGGTAATGTGCTGAGAAGCTTGCGTATCATTGCTGCGACCGCCATGTTGTAAGCTAAAGTTAAAGAAAGAACCCGTGATCACAACTCCCGGATGCGAATGGAAACTAATATGCTAGTTATGTATAGTTTATGTGACCCTCTTAAATGCCAAATCAGGACACCAGGGCTTTTGGGGCGTCGCTTTCACGTGCTCATTTTTTTCGGACGTGTTGCTTGCTGCTAGTGGTCAATTCAGGATAGACCGAGGCCTGAGGGGTCTAGGCCTTGCATGAGAGATTTTCGGAGGCCTGAGGCTTGGGGTTTAATCACACACCTAAACCCGAAGCCCCCACCCCCCCTAAAGTGCCAGACACTTCCAAACCGTTCATAACCCTTCTGAATCTCCGTAAACCCTCTTAAACCCGTCCACGCAGTTCTGTTGTATGGCTCCGTTCGACGTCAGGTCCGGTCATTGCGTGAGAGGCTCCAGGCTTTGCACCTCCCCCTGTCCGGTTCTGGGGATGTGCTGCGTCAGCGCCTGGCCGGGGCAGAGCACCGCGTGGAGGCCACCAGGGCTCATCTCTTGCCGAGCAATTGCAGCTCGTCGCGCTAATCGAGGCCACAGCACTTTCGAAGAGGAGACGGCAGCGTGTCCGGTGGGCACAGGAGAATGAAGAGTGCGAGAGTGTAGCTGGTTGTTGCTGCGCTGCCTCGTGATGGCTTGTTGATGTTGCCAACAACCCAGGGCATCCCCATCATCTCCCTCTGCAGGAGCAGCAATATTGGAACCTGAGCAGGCAAGGCTGGTACGTGAGACCTCCGCCATCACTTGGGCGAGGTGCGATTGCCCGAGTCTGTTGAGTCGCAATTTTGCCGAGGGCCATCCTCTCCGTAGACGGGAGTTGGATCAGTGCGCTCAGCTGCCCTTACTAGGTTCACGGAATCCTCTTTGCGAGCTCGGCGAGTGTGGTGATACCGCTTGTTCCAGACTGAGAGCAGTCGTCCATTTTGGACAACTGACCCCTTCCCCGGTAGCCGAGCAGATTGCTGCATCTCAGGTGCTCTCTATCGTTTCCGTGCCGGCTGCGAAGGCGTGCGGTCAGACTTTGTGAACTTCTGTGCCGAACAGATCGAAGACCATTTCTGGCAAGTCAAGTCGCGCCATGATGAAGGGCTGGTGTGGCTTGACAGAAGAAGGCATTCAGCAGACTGCAGGCACACGCACCGACCCAATCGTCGAGATTTTCAGGTACTGCACGCTGGGATGTGGCTGTCTTTACTTTGATTGGGAGCTGCTGGATCGCCTTGCCACGAGTGCAAGGCTGCGGTGAAAATTGGCATAGTGCGCCGAGCGGGTGTAAGCTGTTGTTGGCAAGTTGCACATGAGCAGCTGGCGCGGGAGGCGATCTCCGAAGGTGTGCGCGTAGGTTTTGGTTGCCGTTGGTTGCCAGATTCCACAAGCCGGCAGGTTTCCCATTGACCAGGTCTGGGTTGTGGACCGGGCCTTCTGGAAAAATGCAACTGTCGCTTCGGATGAGTTCAAGGCGCTCGCAGCCTTCAGCCAGTGGCAAGGCGCTCAGCAACCGCCCGGCCTGTGTCCAGGATCCCCGGCCGACGAGATCACCTCATGCCCACGCCAAGCTGAGGTTTGCAGGCACATTCGACTTGCATGCCTTCCGGACGGTGCGTTCTTTGAAACGCTGGTGCGACTGGGCATGAATACACCCAAATCGATTCTGCTCGCAGTGTATGGGACGAGCTGTTTGGTGCAGCAGTTCTGCAGGCAGCGCCTTCTCGGGACAATTTGGCCGGGCCCATGTCGTCATGGAGTGCGACAGCGTGCAGACCCTTTGTGAAACGGTTGTAACTGGCGAAGTGGAAGACACTTCAGGGAGGGGTGTGGCGAGTTGGCAAGCGTCTGTCTGCAGAACCAATAATGATCAATACTGTACTCCCATGCTAAGGACCCATGCGCTGACCGACGACAGCAGCTTCTGTCAAACTGTGCTACATGAGGAGGCACTGAGCCTCCAGACGCTTGTCTTTTATTTTCAGAGGAAGGTCAGCACTTGCTACGTTGTCAGGGTACAGAAGAGTCAAGGAAAAGGACAAGTACACAGAACCACCGAAGGCTCTTTTGGTTTGTGTAGCATGTGTAGCCTTTGCTCAAGCCTGCTTTCGCCAGGACCCGAAACCAAGTGAAACAACTTAGCATGCCTTCTAGTTCACAGCTGCGGGGAGATCCTGGCAGTTTCACCCATCTTAATTTGTGATTCCACGATTCTGCAAGCACTTACCTAATGACCTAGTGACGTGCTTGTCCACCCGCATGTCGGGATAGGCAATGATACGCACGAGACTACATATAAACTCATCCCAGGAGCAGATTTTGGGCATATTCGCATTAGTCATACGAGGCTCATCATTGCCAGTTCCTGACCTCTTTCTTGGTAGATGCCTCAGGATCTTCAGCCAGCGCCTGGCTCACCGCCGCCCCGGGCCGGGGCGCAGGCGCGCACCGGCTGCTCGGCAAGTCGACTACGACTAACAGATTTGTTGGTGGTTGTGGCCATGACGCGAAGTTCTGTTGCGGAAGCTCCTGTTTACTGCTGTTCCTGCAACAACAGAATGACTATTCGTTTGCAAGTGCAGCAGCGTAAGCAGCGGCAACAACCACCGCCGCCTCCACTGATTGAATACTGCCGCTGCTGCTACTAGTACAAGTACTAGTACTAGTTAGTACTAGTACGAGCGCTTCGGCTACTAATTGCTTCGGTTGCTACCTCTACTGAACTACCACTAGGGGAACACCTAAAAGAGATGTTCGAAAATAACATGAAGTGCAGTTTTAGGTATTAGAATAGAGGAGAATAGAGGCATTCGCTGACGTTTGTTGTTCTTGCCTTCCCGCGCATGCTAGTGCCGACGGCCACTGCAAGGATGGGCGAAACTTCGTAGTAATTACATCTGGCAGCAACAGTAGCAGAGTGGTTTTTCTGGCAATGTGTGTTGCCAGTTTTATCGCTATGATTGTTGCGCCGATGCACTGCAGACCCCTTTTCGAATAAGGGGGTCATCGTAAACACGTTGCTTGATCAGGCATTTGGAAATTGAAGTATGGGTGAGTGGGAGAAGTCTCGATGACCTCCTGGCTGACTCGAGCGACAAATTCACTGTGAGGCATGCCGAGACTAGACTTTCTGTTGAATCTGGAAATCAACAATCCAACTAGATGCGCGTCAACTGAGGAAACGAGAGAGCCTGTGCAGGCATTCGAGTCTGTGCTTTCTTGCCGAGGTCCCCGTGGCCCCTGTCCGCTGCGTCCGTCGAAGAAAAGAGGCGGCATCCCTCAAAGTTCTCCGCTGTGCCTGAGCAGTCCCAACCATCCTTTTTGCTGACCCTGTGCAGCCCAGAGTCCTCCAATCTGTGGCATGCTTTGCCTTCCGTATCATGCAGGGGTCACGGGTAAGTTTTCAGGACTGCAGTTTAGGTCGGTATGGATGGTTGTTACCAGTAAGTGTATGATGCGACACATTCCTGTCTACTGCCACAGCTGATTTAGATGAGGGTCTTGTGAAGGACTCGCTGGAAACTCTTCAGCGAGACCAGTGGACAAGTGGAGACTCTCCTAGCACTCCAGATATGATTCTTGCCGGATCACTATCGTCGGGAGATCCAGCAGCTCGCATCCAAGGAGCCTGGATGCCTGACTACCTGGTCGACTTCATGCGAGAAGATGACCAGGAGGATCCTGCGCGATGCCCGGCAATTCTCGGCACTCCGCGTGGAAGCGTTCATTTTGGCAAGCTGAGCTGATCCCGAGGCTGACTGGATTGCCGAAGACTTGCAGCGTCGCTATCGCTGAATGTTTGATGATGTGGCTGATTGCCTGTCGAAAGAGTTTGCGACTGGGGTGCCCTGAACAAGTTGGGGCCAGTTGCGGCTGTTGGAAGAAGCTTCATACAGGGCATGATGCTAGGATGCTGCTCCTCAAAGAAAGGCCAATGTGCGGTGTCGTAGGTAGCGGTTGCCACTGCCAAAGCTGCAGGTTCCCGCTTGTTTCAACTCCCTCCCGCAAGATCCCGCAAGCGTTGAGCCAAATCCAGGCAGTATCGGGATTGGAAGAGTCTCGAGTTTGGACCTGTCTTTAGGAAGAACTTGCCGGATGAGACATTGCCACAATGGCGGGGCGGCATCGTTGTGGATTCTTGCTCTGCTCAAAGCTGGCAGAAGTAGATCCGGAACTCTGCAGAAGCACATGATCAGTAACGCATCAATTATGTGTTGAAGACTCGTGCAACTCCGCACTCCACCCATTGGGTTTGCCGTTCATCAAGATCCAACAAACATGCGGCATATGGCAATGCCTTACAAGGCTTTGGTCCCCCCGGGCCCAGATCTTGGTGGAGCATCCAACACATTCACCCTCCCCGAAGCCTGAATGTCTCCATCCCGTTTGCATAGACCGAAACTCGGCGCTGCTTCGTGACATGCCTGCGGAGCTCGTAGGCGCCTCCTACCGCTGCTCCACCTGCGGCCAAGAGCTTGCTGAGGAGTGTGGTGTAATCTCAGGAACTGAGAAACCTGCGGGTTTGATCCTTCGATCAGTGCAGCAAGGATGTTAGGCGTCCGGTAGACGGTAGGTAGGTGTTCTGCGTCACTCCTTCAGTCGGTTCGAGCACAGGCTCGATCGGTGGATCCCATCCTGCAACTTATGAGCCGCGCAAACAACATAATCATCGCGCTCTTCGCCGATAGTTCCCGAGCTTCAGGCCGCATCCTTGCTGCCGGCATCAGATTCACGCGTGGTGCCCTGCTCCGGCATCACGGCTCGCAGCTGCGAAGTTGCCGGCAAAACAACTCTGCAGTTTTCCACGTGTGCCTTGGTACCAGAGCATGGCTGGAGGGACAGACCAAGCCCTCACCTGGGGCATAGCGTCGTAGGTATTCCCACCACTATTCTCAGAAGTCCTGATACACGAATCGAAGGCCAATCCTTCGTCATCAATCCCTTCCCTCGACGCTTCGAGCTGGTCCTGGTGGAGAAGATTGTTGCCAGAGCCGCCTCGGAAATAGGCACCGGCAACGCCGTAGCGTGGTTGCTGGGCCCTTTGCCATCATGGCTTTGTCATGGGCCTTAGGCCAGAAGATACCTTGCTATTCTGGTTCAGCCGGCGATCTCCCTGTGTCAGGCCCCGAGGCGATGCTGGAAAACAGCTGGTTTGAGGGCCATGCTCATCGGGTTCTCGTGTGTACCCACTGCGAGGACCACATTGGCCTCTAGGAAGCAAGGATGCCGACTGGCGGCTAGGTGAGTAGCGAAGCAAGCCCACCCGCTGGGTTGAGGCCTGACCCTCGTCCACACGCAGACCTTTTTTCTGCATCACGCACACAGTACAAGCCTAGTACCTTACATGTCTGTGCCGGGCTGTGGCAACCGATGCATAACCACGACTAAACAACCCAGGTCTGGGCTTTGAGACTGATGATGATGATGATGCGGTTGATGAAGATGATGATGATGATCATCACCGGAGCCTTTGGTTTCCCCAACATGGCTTCTGCCGCGTTGAACGCACCAAGGTTGGAGCTACAAGGGAAGACACGGGGACACGATTTACGGGTTGGCGCTGAGCGTCTCCAAGTTCTGGGCCTGGCTCTGCCTTTGCGCTTTGCTACTTTTCGCGGTTTACCAGGTAACCCGGAATGCAGAGAAGGATGTACGGCCCGTTACGGGTAGACCGGGTAGTGTTCACATCATTTTTGAACCCCCCACCCCCCCAAAGGACGCACCCCTTCCCCGTAATTAGCAACGTGTTGGGGCGATAGCAGTAGCAGAAGTAGCAGTAGTAGCAGGAGTGGGAGTGGTAGTAACTAGGAGTACGGGCGCGCGCAGGAGTAGAGGTTTGCCCACGGCATTTGAGCGGGTTTCGGGTTCAGAGTTTGCGTCTTAATTCTTTGTTTCAGTGGGACTTGCGTTATGGTTACATACGTGTATCAGTCTATATACATACATACATACATATATATACACATATATATTTACATATGCATATATGTGCAATATATATACATAATACATACATACATACATACATACATACATACATACATACAAACAAACAAACATGCATACATGCATACATGCATACATGCATACATGCATACATACATACATACATACATACATACACATACCTGGAAACCTGAACGCCTGGAAATTAATGGTGTGTTCGGCAAACGCTCACATTTCTCAAACGCCTGTTTTTTATCGGGAGCCCTCGTACTTCAGGGCGGGGGTCCCTGAAGCCCCGGGGTGCTTCAGGGCAGCATCCCTGAAGCCGCGCAGCCGTGGGCAGATCGGAGAAAGTTATGGCCCTTCCAAGATCGTTCAAGTCGGGTTGGTGCCAGCTAAAACGTAGTTTATGCAATCTAGCTTAAGCTTCAAATAGATACGGACCAGAGTTCTCCTCTCACTGATTGGACTTAGACCGAGTAGCAACTTCGGCTTTCAGTAGCGGTGACATGTGTGGGATGTCTCTCACTCGGTATTAGGGAACAACTATAGATCGTACGTTAGTCTTTGACCAAGCTTTGCCCTCATGTGCTTTCTTGCGCTTCTTCAAGCTGAACTACTTGCAGGGCTCAGCTGGCATGTGTTCGGGAGTCGGGACATCCAACTTTTAACTTCACGCCGATGTCAACGCGACAGGTCGATCCAGTTGAGCTCACCGGCGGCTTCACGATGATAAGCCTGACGGACAGGTGTGCCCACCCCCTTTTTGCTTTGTCAGCTCTGCATGGAATTATAACGGTAGGTTGCGTGTTCGCTGCATAAGATTTGATCGCAGTCGGGGTTCAAGGTCAAGGCACTCTTGTGTTGATGCCCAAAATTAGCTTCCTGTCATGTTGCCAAGCCTGGGAACGGCACCGAACCCTGCGGAAGCGTGCGCGAGCGCGAATGATGCTGGTACAGGATAGCAAAGGCAGGAGCCACATCAGCCCGACCCTCGAGAATCTCAAGGTGAACGAACCCATTCTGAGGCCGTTTACCACAGCTATGGCCGAAGCAGGTAGAATCTCGAAACCACTTTCGTCGATCAAGGAAGCTCTTGTCAAGTTCTATGACGGAGAAAACGAGGAGATGCAGGAGACGCCTGAAAACACGGAGATGAAGCTCCGAAGGGACAGGAATGTAAAGAAAACTGCTAAAGCAATCCTTTCAATGCTGACTGTGATCAAACGCAAGTGGACGAAATGGGAGATCCCACGTGTGACATGGACATGACATTAAGGTTTTCGAGATCTAATTGATATTGTGTGTAAGACTTTTGGGCATGTATTTCATGAGGCTTCGATCCTAGAAGTGAACATATATGCAACGTTTCATGCGCACATATAAGGACGAGGCCATTCGCAACATGGTTTTGGACTTGGCAAAGGCTGTTGATAAAGCCTATTCTGATTCTCCGTCAAACAGAGCATCGTGTTCTTTTCAGTCATGAGAAAGTTTTATTCTTCAGATGCACTGCTTCCGCATGGTTGTGCTTTCGCTGTGCTGCTTCTTTGATTGCTGATCCCCTTGCTCAATCCAGGAAGGCCGCTGTGCACTAGCAAAATCGCCCCGGCAGCCTACAGCTAGTCTTGCCGAAGACGAGTGTTCAGGAAGTATGGACGACGAGTCACTTAGGGCGGATCTTCGATCGTTGTCCTCACAGAGCATTGGCTCCGCAGAGCGAAGCAGCTCCGGAGAGCGAGGCAGGACTCTGGAGTCTTTTTTGACGGCCCCTCCACGACGAGAGGAGCTGGAACGTTTGCTCGGTTTTAGCTTGGATCCAGCTACCTATCGGAAACTGGCAGCTGGGCCTTCCGGCTTGCCAAAGCCGGGTGGCATGGATGAGGCCCCTCCCAACCCTCCTGAGGAGCCAGAGCCTTCGGAGCTTGACCTTCCGGAGGAGCCAGCCCCTCTGCCAGCACCCAAGCTGGAGGAGACCAGCTCTTTGGTGCAGGCATCGCAAGACGGGACCCCGCCGAAGCCCAAGCCTCCATTGTCTCCTGGAAGCCCGGTCGAGCCTTGATTAGGACAAGAAGTGCAAGTACGGTGGTTTCATGCGTACTTTTCTACCTCTTTGCTTCATGGCTTGGCAGAGATGCTTTGCTTGTGTCAAATGAGGAGATTCTTGCCGTGAAGCTGGCCCCCAAAGCTGGCCCGAGAAAATCCTCTCCAACAGGGTTGGCCAGTCAGCTTGCAGCCTTGCCACCGGCAAAGCTCAAGGAGCTTCTGGCAGTGGTGAACGACAAGTGGCGTCGTTGCAGTGATTGGTTTTTGTGCTGCTTTTGACGATTGAGCGCAAGTGCTTGCTTGCAATCATGCTTGGAATTTCTACACATGGGCGCACCAAGTACCAAGGCTGGCGGCTGGGCCTAAGGACTTCGTTCACCATGGAGGTGATGATCCGACACGGCGCAAGCTGGCGTTCGATGGCCCAGTCTCCGATGGTGAGGGCTCTACTTCAGCCGGGAGTTCAGGTGAGTCGTTTGAAAAGCTTCATGAGAGTCCAATTGCTGTTAATTTGCATGCATGAATTCGATTTAAACTCGGTTGCTAGGCTCGGCATCCAATCCGGACCAGCTGGAGACCCAGCTTTGGGCTGCGGAGCCCGAAGCCTACATAAATGATTGGCTGGCGAACGAGCGCGCTGAGCATGCAGCTAGGGTTGAAGCGGCTCAAACGAAGGCAACGGCTGAAGCTCAGGCAGCTGCCCGGGAGGAGGCCGAGAGCAAGAAACGTGAAGAAGCTAAGGATCGGGAAGTCAGGCAGCAGCGCTTGAACCGGACAAAGCCCATGCTCGAGGCGGAGGAGCAGGAGAAACCAGCCACGAGGCATAATTTGAATTCAAGTGGCATGTCATCGAGCTTCGCATGTTTGGTTCGGCACGTGTATAGGACATACCATACAGGACTGCAGATTCACAAGCATGTGGGAGAGTGATCGATATAGACCCATGATCCCCATGTTGTCGATGTGATCTGAGTCTGCGATGGTGCTCACACGGCAGCAACAGCTGGCTTTGTCCGCCGGCAAGAAGGGCAAGTTGCCGAAGGTCGACACGGGCCCCGCCAAGGCCCCTGCCGAGTCAGAACCTGAAGCTGAACGTGACGAGGAGATGCCCGACACAGAGTTGTGCCCCCGCAAGCCGAGGGCCGCTGCGGGCACAGCCAAGGCGAAGGCAAAAGCAAAGGTCAAGACCACGCCCGACGGCAAGGCCAAAGCTTTGCCTAAGTCCGCTGGCCAGGCCAAAGCGAAGGCCAAGGCCAAAGCTTTGCCTAAGTCCGGTGGGAAAAAGTCGAAGGCTCGTGAGAATCATGAAGATGGCGACGAGCCGACTGACAATGATGGCTCAGCACCTGCTCCTTCGGTGCCGAAGAAGTCCAGGAAGCTTCTGAGCAAGCGGTCGAAGTGCCGTATGGTCTTCAAGTGCAAGAAGGGTAAGAAAAAAGCCAGGGCAGTGGAAACTGCTGATGACGACTGGACCCTGTATTACGGTGATGATGACGCTGGGGGGGAGGAAGAGGGGGAAGTAGAGGAGGAAGCTCCTCCTGCTGATCCCCCTGCTCGGTCTGTTCGTGCGAAGAAGGCGAAGACGGCCCACGTGGAGGAGCCGGAGGCGGAGGAAGAGGAGAACGAGGACAAGGAGCAGGAGGACGAGACCCCCCCTTCCACGTTTGCCCGCCGATATTGCCCGGCACGCCCACTTTTCCGAGCCAAATGGATGGGAATCAGGGAAGCCTTCCAGGTCCGCATCTTGCCCTTCGTCAAATTCCCGTGCAAGCTGGAGGACGCCCCTACATTCCGGTTACATTCCCTACAGTTCATGCGTGTATGCTCCAGCTGCTCTTTTGAAAATTGTACAATAGTTGAATGGCAGCCACTTGCAGGATGACTTCTGGAAGTACGTGGCCCAGGCTACTAAGGAGGACAAGATCACTGACCCAGCTGCCTGGGCGAGGGTGGCCAAGAACCTCACTTTTTCCTTTTTGATGGACGCTGGCATCAGTATCTTGAGTTGCACTATATTTGTTCTGTCGTCATGCCTAAAATTCTGCATACATGTCCCAGCTCTTGAGTTTAAGGCAAGACATGGTCCAGCGATGGGGAGGATCTCTTCAATGGTAAGAAAAAGGCTACCGTGAAGAGATACGAGCAGGCACTTCAGGCTCACTGATGTATCTATCGAGTGGCACAGTGATTCAACGCAGACGGGGGACCCTGGGGAAAGAACCTCTGGCTGCACTTGAACATACAAAGCTTTGGCCTCGGCCCCTCATTTTGGAGGCACCCGGCAGCCAGCACACACCTCAAGGCATCAGGGACGTTTAATTGTTAAGGCTATTTGGCTGTAGCTTGTCGATCAGGGAGTGTATAGTGCTGCATACAACATTTACACTCATACTCCATGTCTAGTGTTGGCTGCATGTGCCGGTCCACGCAGAAGTGGCTCCTCTTTCGAAGTTCCATGCAGCGCAGCGCTTGCATTCAGCTTTCGCAGTCGCCCGGTGAAAATGCTCCGATTCAATGCGCTGCATGCTTACACTCTTGAACGTGGTCTGATCTAAAGATGCAATCATTCCGAAATTTGGTTTTGTGCAGCCGAGAGCCCATATCCCCAGCACCCTGTTCCTTCCATCGATCCTTCCACCGCGCAGGGGATGCCATCTCGTCACCGTCCTCGCGACTACGACAGCCAAGACACTCTCGAGTCTTCTTCAGGCACGATTGCAAGGGGAGGCACTGCACTTTTCAGATTGACCGTTCTATGCGCACACACTAGAATCACTGGATGCCGGTGACTTGCCAGTGCATGCTTGCCACTTTCAAGAGTACGAGCGCTGAAGCTTTGTGGTTTTCAGCTCTGCAGCCCCAGTGCACGATCACACTTGAGTGCATGCATGGAAGTACATGTGCATGCTTTATAATCGGTTGCTCTTCCGGAGCAACTTCTGCTTGCAGCCGAACCCTGCCGGTCCTTGTGTAGCCATGCAGCCGCTCCAGCTTGTTGAGAACCTCATAAAGCTTCAAGCTCCGAAGGCCGGCTATAGGGGCCCACGTACTTCTGCAGGGTTTCTATGTAGTGCCGCACATGCTCTTCTCAAGAATGCTTCAGGCTTTGCGTCTGTACGTCTATGCAATCTAACGTACCGACAGTCGTAGCCGAAACCTGTGTCTAGCTCTGAAGTTGGAGTGTGAACTTGATATTGTAGCACACGTGTTCCTGAGCGTCCCGCATCCAACGCAGGTCTTCATCCTCGCCGTGCTGTGCCTGTTGTTCAACGAACGCTTCAGGACTCAGAAGGACCGCAACCGAGTACTAGAGTTACTAGAGCCGGGGTGTGTTCTGCTTGTGCCTTATTGAACGAAAGAGGAGTTTGTATTCGTCGAGCACTATGCGGGTTCCAAAGTCCTGTCTGGGGAGATCGGGTCCAAATACGGGCGAACTGCTGCATTGGACATCGAATTTCACCGTGGAATGGATATTCTATCTCCAGCCGGCTTTGCGAGCGAGACTTAGAAATAAGTCACATATGCATTCAGCGATCGAGTCGTTCATGCAATCTGTGTACGCACGGTGTATTGCATGAGATTTTTGCGGGAACTCAGGCTGCACATTCTGTCCATCCTGTACGGACGTCGCTCAGGCTTCACATTGTGGTCTGGCCTCCAGTGTTCCTCTTGGGTATCTATCTGCCGAAGCAGCACGAAAAGACAGTTCTTGAATCCTTGTGGAGATAGAGAAGCCCCGTCAGTGCACATGGGAAATGCTCAGCTGTGCAGGAGACCTTGTGTAGCTCAACATAACATGAGCTAAGTAGGTGCAAGCCCTAAGGTGCCATAGGCCTCGAGCGCACGAAGAATAACGAAGCTGGCTGCCTGCCTCGGTAGGACAATACTGCTGTCAGTCTTGTGCATGGCCCGGGGAGCTCACTGGGTAATCGAGCAGCCTGGGTCTTCCTTGATATGGCGACATCCTCGTTTCCAATGGTTGTGCAAGGTTCATAAGGTCCGGTTTGTGTTTGCAAGCACGCAGACTTCTTATCAGTTGTTGTACTTAATCTCCTCCCTTCCTCCTACTGTCCTTAAGTAATCAAGCAAACTCCTGCCGCCCCCGCCGACCCCATAGGTCTTCGTCTGCAGATTCTGGATGATGCACTACAAGCACAAGTGTCCAAAGAGGACGGCTTTATGGAGCTCGAGTCGGAAAATCTTGCAGAGCAAGAGAGCAGCTCGGGCCGTTCATGGTGACGTTCAGCCCGTCACTCGTAAGGTTGGAAAAGATGGTCGGGTGAAGTTTTCTGGAAATTCCATGTTGAAGCCAACACAGATGCATGGCCACACTTCTGTATGGTTAATTTCATCGATCGTTCAGTAACACGCACAGACCCTAAACCCCATAAGGCCCAACCCTGTACATCCGATATACCCTAGCTCAATCTGAGATATGGAGTTAATCCCTGTAAAGCCCGACCGAAGCAAACACATCCCCCACAAAACCCTTGCATCCTTTCCGATCGAGGAAATACACGAAAGAGTTTGCCCAGCACATGGTCAAGCTCTTGCCGGGCTTCAACGAGTCCGCGGCTCTGCGTCCCACCTCCATGATAGATACCTCGACGATTGACAAGCTTCGGAGCATGGATATGGGTGCACAGGATTGGTCGGAAGCTGGCGTTCCGGAGCTACTGCAGTACGTATACGGAGCTAGGGGGTTGGTCATCCCTCCAGAATGGAGAGAGTGCTTCCCCGCAACACACTTTCAGTAGCAGGGTGATGCCAGAACGTATCGTATGTAGTATGCGCTATCATACCGGGCCCACTTTAGTATATGCATCCAGGTGTGCAGAAGCCATTCATCTCTGTGCCAGCAGAATACCCTGCAGGTTCCGATGTTTTGATTGTCGGAGTGCAGTCCCCAGCAGCTTAATTGATGCTACCGTTTGTTGTGGGCCTCGTGATCTTAAATTGTCGAGAACCAAACCTTTGGGTATTCAGGTCTCCCCAGAGCTGTAGCCATTTACATTTCCGGTTGTGTAGAATTACAGTATGCATCCTCTATCTCCAAACCACGAAGATCAACTTAAGGACTGGCCGGTGTTGCCTTCGACCCAGTAAATATATCATATATTGCATATTGTACGTAACATAACACGTATCGACGTGAAAACTTTTCTAAATATGCTTGAATTAGGCCTTTTGCTACACCACTTCTCTAGATCCATCGGACCTGAAACCCCGTGCCTGGCCTGAAGTGCTGATACAACACCCTTCCAAAGCCGCACAATCCTGCATGAATTTCGTTTGGATGCCCGAAACCTGCCAATCTTAAGACGCCCCAAATCCTAGCAAAGTCTGATCATTGGTCAAACGCGTACCAGAACCTGTTGCACCACAAACCCCAACCCAAAACCGGCCTATAAACCCTGAAACCTAGAAACCCAAAAAACCCTGAACTTCTAACTCATATCGATCGAGGCCCTACCATCTGCAATTCATTACAGCGTAACCCCTATATAGGCTCGGGATCCACGAGGGCTGCCGCCGGGAACTGTCTGCCACAACGTATTTTCTTTGCCAGTATATAGGTTCTGCAATTAAATTCGATGGGCTCTGTCGGTGCACCATTGCAACTATGGACGGCTGCTGGGCGAACAGAAGTGCTGAGGGGTTCTTTATTTAAGCCGCCTAGCTAGATGGTTGACCGGCAAGTGAGTACTTTTCGGTCGCATCCATTCGAGGACGTGTTACTGCTGCATTTCTGGGCACTCAAGGCCTCAACTAAGCTTAGAAGACAAACGTAGGGTTGCGTGCGCCTAGGTTTTGCGGGCCCGGGCTCAACCCTATAAACCCTAAACCCCTCAAACCCTAAAGCCTTAAGCCCTAAACCCTGACTGGATCTAGGGAGGATTTCAATCTTTTCTGGCGCTATATTTACCGGCTAGCAGGGTAGAACCAATCCAGGCTGCAAAGTTGAGGCCCTTGCAGAATAATGTCGCAGTCTACGGTTTCCAGCATCCAGGTCGCCTTTGCGGGCAACGAACCATAAAGGTCTGCAGGTTGATGCGTGTGCTTGATCGATGCATGTATGGTACGCATGCATGTGCGTACCTTTGTTGTCGATGATTATTCAGCACTGTGTCGTCTGTGCATGAGCATTCTTAGGCCGGCCATACTACTATAGTGCCATGCAGCTATAGGTCATGCACTTTACGTATGATCGATCGATGCATGATATAGATTGACCGACTTCTGCGTGCATGGGGTGTGCCTGTGCCTTCGTAAAGGTGTGTGCTTCAGTTTCGGGCATTGTGCATGCAGCTTAATTCCTGGCATATACACGATCGATTAATTAATTGAGGCTAACAACTTGGGGCTTCGAAGCTCACCGGCTTTCAGCTTTGCAGGGCTTGCGGTTTCATATTTTCAGCATGCGCCAACGGGCTTGAGATTTCCACGGGTTCGGTTTTGGACGGCTATAATACGTGCTTCGGGTGTTCAGGGCTGCGGGCTTTCGATTGCGATGCCTGCCGGGCTTCAGGTTGGGAGGGCCGCGGGCTTCAGGTGTGTTCCCCTTCCACAAACCCGTTGTCTTGAGCTAGGTTTCCAAAGGTGTGGGTTGCAGGCGTGCCAGGGCTTCAGGGCTGCAGGTTTGGAGGGCTACGGGCTGAAGCTGTGGGCTTCAGGGCTGCGGGTTTCGGGGCTTCGGGGGCTGCGGGCTTCGGGGCTGCGGGCTTGAGGGCTGCGGGCTTCAGGGCTGCGCAGTTTAAGTTTCCATGCAGCATTATTGCGGGCCCGCGGTCTGGTTTGAGAGCCTGCGGGCTTCAGGTTTTCGTGGCTGCAGGGTTTGTGGAGTTCCGGGCTCAGGGCCTCAGGTTTGGAGGACTTCAGGTTTAGGTCGGGGTCTGCGGGCTTCAGGTTTCCTGTGCTGCGGGCTTCCATGGGACTGCGGGCTTCAGGTTTCCAGGGTTGTGGGTTTCAGCTAGGAGGGTTGCGGGCTTCAGGTTTACAGGGTTGCGGGCTTCAGGTTGCCATGCAGGGCTGCGGGCTTCAGGGTTGGATCGATCGAAGGCTTGCGGGCTCACAGGCTTCTGAAAAAGCTCGGCTTCAGGGCAGCGGGGCCCCAGGGGTGCGGGCCCAGGGCACGGGCTATGTGCTTCAGGGCTCTATTCCCTGCATGGGCATTGCAAGCTTCAGGTGCTTCAGATTACAAGGGCTGGCAGCGGACCGACCCACTCCTAGGCAACTTGTGGCTCAGATTTTGCGGGTTTGATACGTTTCGCGTGGTTCTGCAAAAAAACACGCAATTTTGCAATTCCAAACAACCACTTTTTGGCACGCAACACTCACTTTTTGGCACGCTACACCCACGTTTTGGCACGCAACACCTGTTTCATATTTGGGCCTCATTTTGCGCTATTTTTTGCAGTGTAGGTTTCGACTTTTGCGCCATGGCTCTTCGCAGGGACCAGCACAGCGCGGAATCGCTCGCCTCCGGCCTGTCCTTTCTTCTTCGTGCTGCATCCAACGGCGATATGAGCGAGCTTCGGAACGTGGCTCAGGAAACCGTTCCCTAACATGCTTAGCCTCGACTCAATTCATCCAATGGATATGATCGATCCATCCCTTTGGGTGCTGCACCTTGAAAACCCGAAGCTCTATAGCATAACCCCGCGCCACAGCTGAATCTTATATAAACGCTATAGAAACCCGTGAAAGCCAAGCCCTAGCCCTAGCCTTAATAAACCCGTGATCTTTGGCAGGACTTGCAACAGGCCCTGGAAATTTCTCAGTGTGATGTCAAGACCGAGCCGGCCACAGACACGCAGATCGCCGCGACGCGCAAGCTGCCCAAGCCTGTGGCTGGGTCTAATTGAATGATCGCTGGAACCCTTAGTACCTGCACCGCTTTCTCCAGCTTAACTATATTACTTTAATTGAATCAGTCGGTTTGCCAAGGACTGCAGTTGATTGAGCTTCTTAATTTGTAAAGCACGTAGTGCAATTCGCTGTAGCTAGCTCACCATTATGCATTCCATTCGATCTATAAAGCGACAGCTTCGACCATTCCAAGCCCGCGCAGAACCACATCAATGTTGAGCCCCACACTTACATCGATAATCCGGCCGCCCTATTGACCCTATGAAGCTAGAATAATCGAAACCTTTTATATCCCGGTCTGCATAAACCTTACAAGCCGGCGGCACTTGAAGCACCGACTTTTACTGAATCCAGCAATAAACAAGGTGAAGCAGGAACCAGGAGTTACTCCGCCTTCAGCAACCCCAAGCCCACGCGCACCTACATCGCCGACCTCACCGCCCGAGCAGGATTCGAAGCTTCACAAGGACAGGTTCCCCCAAAATGAAAAACCGGATTAGAGGCCGAAACACTTCCTAGCTGTTCCATTGAAATCCAGGAGCTGCTGTACAAGATGGAGATTCTCAAGGCAGCCATGACTGCCCAGCAGGAGGAGCTTCAACAGCTCCGTGAGCACAAGCAGGAGCACGGGAGTTTAGGATAAGTTTAGGATTGCAGGATTGCCACTGTGCACACGTGTCAACAAAGGGACACAATGATGCTTATAATTGCTATGCAGGTCTGCTTTCATGATCAGCTGGAGTCGTGTGCAGTACTATAGGATCATGTTAAGTCAAAAGTCGTTCGGCACCCAAACCACAGGAGGCCCAGCAGCCTGCGGCCGTTGACAAGCCCGTGCAAGCAGTGCCGGCTGAGAAGCCAGCGCTGTCTCAGCCTGCGGCAGGGAAGCAAGCTCCGGCAGCGGCAGACTGTCGTTGTGAGGTTGTTAGCAAGAGCCCGAGTTCTCGAGGCTCCAAGCGCCCGTGCCCTGCGACAGCAACGGAAGACCCGAAACCGAAGAAGGCGGTAGGTACTGATGCCGAAGACCCCGAACCTGATTCGGATGATGAGCCACCGAAAGTGCTAAACTTTAGCAACCTTAGCAAGCTTGAGAAGGAGAAGGTGAGGCGGATCGTCACCCCAAAGAAAGGTTCGGGGAACTTGGAGGTGCCAGAGAACATCTTCGAGATGTGGAAGGACGCTGCAAAGGGCAGGGACAATTTGTTCCGCATGTGGGCAAAGTCCGGAGGTGTCAAGGCAGGGACGGGCCCAATTATTTCACCTACAGGAATTTAGCTTCTGTCCTTTCGACATGGTACTATATAGCTCTACAACGATTTTTCCCAGGCTGTCTTCATGGAATCCCTCGTCATCATGAACCGTACGACCAGAAGCAAGAAGCTGGAAGTGAAAGGTGGTTTCTACAGTAAAGAAGACATGAAGAACGAGCTGAGCTACTCGCAGCCACCTGAAAGCACACTAGACTGTCATTTTAAAATTAACATGTCTCATCGACTGCCCCGTGGACCTTGTGCAACCATTTCCTTGGAAGCCGAAGCCGAGGTCCCGCATCGAGAAGATCGCCGCCTGGGCCGAGAAGAAAGGGCTGGTTCGGCCGCTAGGTGTGATTATAGATTTATCCCGAAGCAAAAAAGAAGTCTCTAAAACCCCTGAAAGACACGATCGATTTATCTCATTCTGCAGCCCTTGAAAGCCGCAAACCCTCAAAGAGCGAACCACTGAAATCGATCAATGTTCTTTGGGGATGTATATAAATTAACTTTGCAAGGGTGTGGAATCCAAGGGGCCGTAGCCTATAGTCTATGTTCCATTAGTGGACCCTGAAAAGTCTGAGGCAAGAGAGGGCACTACCGTTTTGTGTTGTGATAACCCCAGTCAAGCATTTTGGCGCCCGTTTAGGAGAGGGGCGCGTGTATAGTATCAGGGCCTCTACTGACTCTAGTGCCGATAGGGCTTTTGGTTGAGTTCACATCATCCGTTCAACTCATGCAACCCGACAATCCTGAATCATGCTTGCATATCTGCACAAGCCGAGAACCTGTGAGTACGATGATGAGACTCTCGAGTTCTGGGTCAATACGAGAACTTTGGGAACCCTGACAAAAGAAGACATGGAGATGTTGGAGCGCGAGAAGCGGTACTCGGGCGAAGGCGGAACCGACTTGACCTTCACCCCGGGAGTTCACCTTGATGGCTTCACGTTCTCTGACGATGACGACATGATTCACAACGGCACTAAGGATCTTGAGGGTGATCATCACAAGAGTGCTCCTCAGATTGGGTCGTCATTTTAGACACATTCTTGCTGCTATCACACAAGCTGACAGCACGGACTCCCGAATCAATTAAATCCTTCAGTGCTAAATGCACCGCTCGGCTGCAATTGAGGTTGCATCGCAGATGAAGGAGTACATGAAGGGTGTGCTCAAGGGCAAGAACTCCCTCGAGAGCTTCGTGGACAAGGTCAAGAGGTCAGGTCTTGCTGAACCAAAGGACTCCCAGTGCCCTAGCAGAACTTAATTGTCATGTGAATCTATAAACAGAACTTATCGAGAGCCCGACTGGTATGTCCACTGCGACGCACCAAACAATGCCTGAATCAGGCCACTCAAGAAGATGGATGCCATGGTCAAGGAGTTTGAGACTCTCTATGAAGAGATGGCCGAGGCCAAGGCTGAGGGGAGCACAGCCGGCTACACTGAGAAGTTGTTGGGCTGCAGGTGTTTGGGGTCTCTGGGGTATTGTGAGCTCCATGGCTTCTTTTTGATGTGTTCAATGCATGCATGATTATAACCTTAGAAAGACCAGTTTTGTTGCACTTTCGCTCTATAAAACCTGACCAAGTGTAGTACTGCCCTACACGAGAACCCCAACCTGTCATAAACCCAATTGAGCAGCGGGCAACTAAGGATTCAGTCCGAGTGCAAGAGCTTCTTTGTCAAGGCTCAGAAGATGAACCTTGGCGCTAAATTCAGACAGTGTCTCAATCTGTATGCATGCAATACAATATACTCATGCAACCCGAACGTACTGTAATGGACTCTGTCCTAAGATTTTCTCGGGTGGATGCATGTTACGAAAAGGTAGGGTTCATGCATACCTGCACGGAGTCGTCGTATGATCTCTATACTTCAGAAGCACAAATCCCCAGGATTGCCAAAGCTGCAGCTCTGGAGGCTGGCAACAAGCCTCTAGTCTGGATATTGGGGATGAAGGGTGTGCAGGGGGTTGGAATGAATTTATTAAGTTGCCATCTGGGGCTTATGGGTTCTAGGGGTCCGACGATCTTATCGGCCCTATCTGGGTTGACAATGGAGGGATCTGCTGCGTATTGGACCCGAACTTAGATTTGTGGTGTGGGCGGGGGCCGGGGGTTTATGGTTTTCAGGTTACAGGGTCGAGGCTTTTAGGGCTGGGTCGAAGTGGTTCTAGGCTTTAGCCTATTGCCTGCTTTCCTGTAGGGCACCTACCATAGTCTTCCTCACGGAAAGTTTTGAACAAGGGATTGGAGAGCTATAAGGATGTATTGAGGGGCCGGGTTATATAGAGCGCTTTCTTTCTAGCTAGCCTTAGGGTTCAGGTCGATCGAGTGTGGATTGAAAGATATACGTGTTTCTTGAAAAGGAGTACGATCAACCCGCGCAGCGTGTGTTCGATTGTGGCTTGAACCCCCACAACGCCGCCAAACAGCAGGCTTTCCGAACCCCCCAGAAACCCTTGACTGATGCAACCTGATGTCAACTAGGCTTCCGGCGTACTTTAAACCCCTATATTAATCGATAATGCAACCCCTTGCAAACACCAAAGCTCAACCCCCGAGCCCGAAACCCACGTTTTCTCCAGCCAGCCTTAGATCAGACCTCAGCGTGCTGTCTCTTCTTGGAGGGTCTGCAGGCACATATATGATCGGCTAGTTAAGACCGTAGTGTTTTGGTTTTAAACGTTCTTTAGAGTTTAATGGTCTGGAGGGTTATATCTAGCTAGCTAGTTCGTTTCCATCATGGGGCGCAGAGGTACGATGTTTGCTTGACATTCCTGGGGAATGGGAAGGATGCTTATATGAGAAACACGATCACTCTTATAGCTACCGTTATATTGAATATCTACATAATTAATGGGTCCCTTCTTTGGATCCAAAGCCAGCAGCATGCCAGAATTTCTGCAGTTGGTGCAATCTGTCGGGGGCCGGTTTCTCTGGATTGGAGAGGGCAAAGGACACACCTTAGGATCTCACTGAGGCTACATTGGCCTAAACCCTCCGCTTGCACAAACGCATAAATCCTCCCTACAAGGAGCTGGCTAGAGCTGAAATCCCATTTAAGGTCCAGAATACCTAGACTGTCTTGTGTCTGAGGTCGATGCTGGTGAGAGTGCGCAAGGCGGCGAAGAAGGACAACGCATGAGCTCGTCTCGGCGACGTTTTGATTTTGGGGCTTCGCTACAGCTACAGAAGCTGTGGGATGCCATGGGCACATATGATTCCTGTTCATGCGAGCAAGGGAACTACGTAGCATCCCATGCCAGGGTTTTGTGCTTAGCAATTTCTGTACCAGACACAACATGCTGTCCATCTACATATCTGCATGGTGCTTGTACTGTATACGACGCAGGGATCGATGTGTTGTGGGCATACAGGGGCTTCTTTTGCATCTGTGGAAGCCAGCGCGCCACAGGATGCCTTTCAGAAACTGATTCACGTAGCAGGAATGCAAACGAGGCTTGCATTCCAGGTTTCGGCAGCCAGTGTCGCGGACAATTCGTGAGCTCCGTTTGTGCATCAATCAAGCTACTCGCAATCATTAGGCTCCTCTGACCATGCAATTTTGGGGAGTGCTGTCATACCTTCGTACTTATGGCTGCTGAGGCCTCCTAGGTGCACACGGCTCAAGGTCCGTGTCCTTTAGGCCTCTGTGTTTCATCGAAACGAGAATCCAGGGGCTGGTCACGAGCGATGCTGCTTCAATCTGTCAAATGACATTGCTTTTAGGGGGTGGCTAGAGTCGCAAGAGATAAGCTAATTAGGTCGTATGTACTCTAGGGTTCAATGTATTTTCGGGCGGGAAACCGGACTCCAAGAATCACCAGCTATAGAGGATTCTAGAAAGAAAGGTTTCTCTAGAACACAGACTAAGCTAAATGTTCGTTTGAAGATAGGGAGGCATGCAATTGATTTCGTTGTTCTTTGATTGAGGGCCATCATACTACAAACCTGAGCAACATCCAGCCCGCGCGTCTAACGATACAAGAGTCCCACCGTACACCCCTAGGCTGAGAACCCCTGCGGACTGCCTTCATGGCTGATATCCTAGCTTCCGATCGACCAAATATTTCGGTAATTGTCACCCTTGAACAACAACCTGTCAGGCAGCTACGACAATCCGAACGTCAGCGAGCAAGTCCATCTCATCGCTGCCAGATGGAAAAGGTGCTGGGGCCCCAGCAGACCCAAGTGATGACTCGATCCGCATCATGTCCGATATCACCTGCATGGTGCTTCGTGTTCTAAGCTGCTATAATTGCCATGCAACCCATCAGCTGTATGCAGCACAAGAGGTAGCATGACCTGCTGTGTTTTTCTCTATGGCGACTGGTACGAGTACAAAACTGCACATATTCCCATGGAGTGATTCCGAAGACGATGAGATGCAGCAATACCAGTCAGATCTCGACATGAGCATGGATACTCAAACTTCGGAGGCTTCTGCAAGCACTCGAGTTCCTGACACCCCGACCTCGCAGCATGTGCTAGAGCCGCACCTGGATGGGAAGTTTGTTTCCGAAACCACGCTGGCTTCGAAGATTCTGTGGCATTGCGTTGAGGAGATTAACGCACTCCGGCGGAAGCATGGGGGCACTGCTCTTTGTGTGTTCAAGATTGGTCTCACGTCCGATCCTGTTCGGCGAAGCCAAAGCTATTTCGATCAGAACTTCCAGTCCTTCCTAGTGCTGCACAAGGTAAGCCGGCCAGAGCTGCTGGGGATGCTGGAGATGCTTGAGGCTGCATTGATTGCAGAATTTCATGATGGCGAACGCTGCTGCCGAAACAAACAATGGGGCGGTGAGAGTATGCGTAGGACGGACTTCTCGCCTAGGTTCCCGCCGCCCTACTTTGCGTATTGTGCAGCTACAAACGCTGCCCAGCGCAAGCCTATCCTAGGATGATTGGCTTTTTCCTGCTGTCTCGTTCCCGATCCTAGCTAATGTATGTGTGATTTCACACAGCGCCAAACTCTTCGCACGATGGGTCTGACAAATCAAAAGTCTGAGCGTGTGAGTCGTGTGCAAATCCCCAAAGCTTCCGATGCATGTTGACCGAAATGTGGCTGCTGCATGAAGCCTCCCTCTAATTATGGTCGAGATTTTAACACTTGCTCGGCCAAGGTCCCCGCGAAAGATCTCGTCGAGGATGCCCGCACGGCCCTGAAGAGAGATCCTTGCGAGCTGTTGGCCAAGATTGCAAAGATTAAGTTGTCTAGCGCTGATGCTCCCCTCTACAACTTGCTGCAGAAACATGGGCTGGGTTTGCCTATTGACTTTAGCTGGCAGCAGGCTGGCAGGGTGCTACAGTACCCTTTCATAAAACCCAAGGCCCTGGTGGAAGCTATGAGCGAGCAAGGCTACTTTCATCGAGTATTGGGGCTGCCGGTTCACTTAGCATCTGAATCACTTGCTTTGTTTTGGACGAAGTTTCGAGCACTGCACCCTCAACACCAAGTCTTCCAAAACCCTGGCAATCTTGATTATCAGAAACTCATCCCCTACTACTTGCATGGTGATGGGGGGCGAGGGTACAAGAAGGATCCCATCGAGATCTTATCTATGTTTCCAGCCCTTGGTAGTGGGTCGAGGAAGAGACCTGTTGACTTAAGTTCGAAGCGACCAGCAGAAGCTGAAATCGAGCTTGGTATCAACTTGCAAGGGAATTCCGGGGCCTCGCGGTTCTTGTTTTCTGTCGTCAGCAGTTTGGTGGCGAAGGAAGATGCACAAATATTCGATGATCTCATGGAAATTTGGGGTCGAGAATTGCGGTCGCTCTTTGAGCATGGTTTTCATGCCCAAGGGAGCACCTGGCGCATCCTTATTCTGGGTTTCACTGGGGACTCTCCTTTCGTGAAGAAGGTCGCAAAGAGTGTCAGATCGTTTCATAATGTTCGTAAGGGCTTCACTTCACAGAGCGTTCAGACAGGGTGTTGCTGGCTGTGTAATGCTGGTTACGAATCGCCGGAGGACCGTATTCATATTCCCTTCGAGCATCTGGGCTTCGCTCAGCCTGCTTGGATTCAGACAGGCGGACTGAGCAACCCGCTGCCGTGGACTGGTGATGGAGGCGCACTGCTGCGACACATGCTGGTGGATGCAGGCGACACGCCTGCATCTTTCTTCCGAGCAGATTTTTTTCATGTCTGGCACGCTGGTGTAGGCCAGGATTTCACTGCGAGTGCATTGGTCTACGCCATGAAGGTCCTGATTGGATTGGGGGGTGTAGTTCGCGACCTCAACGCCGTGAATGCCCTCCTGAAAACATGGTTGCGCGACTCAAAGAGCAAGCTCCATTGTGGACGTCTTACGCCAGATTTATTGGGGTACCACGGCACGCGGGAGTACCCTGAGGGAAAGTGGTCCAAAAACATGGACACAGCGGTGGTCACGAAATTCATCGTTCACTTACTTGAACTCCCTGATTTTGAAGCAACAGTGCGGGGCGACGACATCTTGCGGGAGATTTTGGCAGCTGCAAAGGCAATAGGCCGGGTGATTTCAACGTGCATGCGAGCAGAGTACTTCATGTCCTCCGATCATACGGAAGCTGTCTTCCGAAGTGGCCACGAATTTCTCATGCTATATTCGGCTCTCGTGCAGAAGTGCTACGATCGATCATTTTGCCTGTTCAAGCTGCGGCCTAAAATCCACTACCTCAACCATATTTTTTTACGAGTCTATCAGGAATGGTTGTGCGACGGCTTCGCCGTCAATCCTATGTCTGAGGCCACATTTATGAGCGAAGATTTTGTTGGCAGGGCTGCAAGGGTCAGTCGGCGCGTCAGCCCGCGTGCAGTTGCATTGAAGACACTACAGCGATACATTTTCTTCATGAAATCTTCTCTTGATACAGATGCTGTTCAGATGCTGGATTTCAGCATGCTGGCTTGAGCGACTCTGCGGCACCCAGTTTTATCGAGCTGCAGTGTTCATACGAGCAGTTTAAGCTCTTCGACACGGATTCATGTTTCGAAAGCTTTTTTACGCACCAGCCCAAACCCAAACAACTTGAAACAACATAGGAACCCTCAAAATCTTATAAGATAAAACCCTCTAAACCTTAAGCCCTGCCCAGGTTCGCTCCTCGTCCGAAGACTCTTCCGCCGGCGCCGCAAAACATGAACAGCGAGAGGGTTTAGGGTTTAGTGGGCTTGTGGGCTTGAAATTGAAAGGCTTTAAGGAATTATGGGTGGCTGTGTTGGATTTTGGACCCTCTGATCTTGAGAAATGCTGATGGGCAACGACTTTGCAACCCTCAAACCCTGAAGCCCGCAACCCTGAAAACCCACAGCCCTGAACCCCTGAGGCCCTCCAACCCTGAAGTCGTGGTCCTCTAAAAAATAGTGGTTTCGCCAAACGCTCACTCTCTAGATGAAAAGTGAGTGCGCCTGTTATTTAACAGGTGTTTAGCTTCACAGGTATAAACCAATGGGCAAAGACAAGACGGACCGATACATGATGCACATATATATATATATGTGTGTGTGTGTGTGTGCGTATTATATATATATATATTATACAGAAATGTATATGTGTGTGTATGTATATATACATACATATGCAGAATATTCATGTACACATACAACCCCCGAATCCGCGCTTGTTTAGTTAGATGAAAAACACACCGGACACGGATACTTACGGAGCATCAGCAGCAGCACAGCCATAAGACGGAATTGTGCGACATCGACATTAGAGCGCGAATCACACGTCAGAGTCTTGATGTCGCCCGCCTTCGCAACAAATAGTACATCGAAGTATTGGTGTTGGCCATCTTCTTCCGTGCTGCTTCCGCAGCACGGAAGAACCAGGAATTTGACATCGAAGTATCGTTGTCGGCCGGTCTTGTGAAAGCCACTCAACAACGAATAAGACATTAAGGCATTACCATCGTCTGCCTTCTTCACAGCAGTGCAGTATCTGAGCTAATTAATGACAGCCGCATCCCTGTGTGACGAGTTTAAGCTCTGTTTCCGAAGATGTCACGAGTTGTTCGGGTGGAGATGACAGCTGGAGGGAAATGCTGAGACCAGTTTCGTCTGCCTTCGTGGCTGCGTGGCCTCGGGCTGGGCGGACTGGGAGCACGCAAGGGGGAGGGAAGGCGCAGCGTCCTAAAAAAGAGAATAGCACGTTGGGGTTGATAGAGGCCTTGAGAGACAAGCCAGCGACCGCAAGTGACGAAGGCTCTGCGCTGCATCCCATCAGCTATCCAGCGAGCCACCAACTCTTTATGTAAAGCATATAACTAGAATGAGCGGCCCTGTGTAGTTGTGGGTATATTCCTGAATATTCCTGAATTGAGCTGTGTTGGGCTTTCTGCAGGGGGTAGAACAAGTCTGTGGAACACATAGGTGTGCAGTAAGGGGCTTTTGGCATATATCAGACCAAAGCGTTTCGGGGGGTACCATACACAGGCGCTGTAGACAGCGGTTTTTCGCGCTTTTCTTCACTTCCCAGTCCACCCAGCTCGCGGCCACACAGCCACGGAGGCACAGGAAACTGGTCTCAGCATATCTTCGGCGGCCGAACTCCCTGCATGCAGCCCTGGTCGAATAAAAAACCAAATACATACATAGGTATCCCTCAACCCTCTTTTTCATCTTTGTTTAGTGAGCGATTTTGGGCAACTAGCTTTCGAATTACTTGCTGCGCGCAAGTCCGGGCGGAAGGCTTTACGGCCATTGAATTGCAGTCTCCTTGCAATCCAGCCAGGAGCCACAACAAGGCATTTCCAGCATTAAACGTGTGCACCACAACAAAGCACAATCCAGCAATAGGCAGCTTTTGCGCGCAAGCAGCTCTGCGAGACTTACAATCTCCCCTCAAAACGCTGCCGTGCTGAGGGAGAAAGCTGCCGTGGGGCACAAACGAAGATCTCATTAGCGGCCCCAACTCTGCAGTTCGCGCAAAAGTGTGGCCGCGACAAGATTGAGAGAGGACACGTCCCAGGTGCCGGGCACACCACGCCGAAAAGAGTCAGCTGAGGGTGCAGCCAGAGCGGCGCGGGCAAACCTGTGCCTTTGCTCGGGGAACGCGCAGGAGTACGGGTACTACTGGTAGCAGTTTCTTCACCACATCCATGATTGTTACATCAGCTGGGCCACCTCGGGGTTTGCAATGTCGGTGTGGGAAAAACGGAGGGTACTTGGATCTTGCAATTCCGGTGGGGATTCGAAGTAGGAGGTCGGTCAACTTCAAGTGTGGGCACAGGCATATCGTGTCCTCATGGCCGGTCCCGATAAACGACTGCCACTGTTCATCTTTCGGTTCTTGCAGCAAAGGTGGCCGCTGGTGGCCATTTCTTGGTGGCATCAGCGACGCTTCTGATCGCTCTTCTGAAGTTGTCGCCTCACCTTCTCCTCTGAGGACACGGGGCATATGCTGGCTGCAGGGCTGTAGGTTCTTTTGGCTTAAAAAGAAAGCACAGTACGTTGTCGCAGACATTGGCAGCTGTCAGTGTCTCGAAGAATTCCCAAAATAACCAGGAGCTAAATCACACATTTAACAAGCCACGGATAAGCCACACGAGTCCTGTGTTACTGGCAAGGTTTCGGCCCGCAACGGATTGAATGTTTGACGCATAAACCCGCCTGAGACGCTACGGCGAGCGCGGGAGACCAAAGGTATTCTCAAGACAAGCCATGCATGTGCGCCACCATCGCAAGCGCCTTGCACATCGTCTCTCCTCCACTGACATGCTACTCCCCTGTGAACGTGCACCCGAAGAAGAACACAGAGAAGACTACTCTAGCACGGGATCTCCATTGCACTCGACTGCGTGGTTTGACTCCCACTGGACTTTCGAAGTCACGCAGTTTTGTCTGAGCTTGTCTCCGTGGTATCCTTGTGAAAGCTGCAAACTGTGTGAAAGCGACCCATGTGCTGAGCAGGAGCTGCAGGGCGCTGGCGAGTTCGTTCAAAAACGAGCTTAGCTTGAAGGGTTGTGGTTTGGAGGCTTGGCTACCAGCACATTTTTCCGGGTTTGGGGTTGTGCAGGCGCCCAAATTAAGACGCACGCCCCATAAGCTTCGCACATTTCCCGAGCAGCCAGAACAGTCATGCCAACCCATCGCAAAGGATGGCTTATGCCAGCAATAAACATCAGTTGTTTGCTCATGAGGGTTTCAAGGCAGAAGAAGGCAGAGAGAGCCACAAAAAGTAATTGTCGAGCCGAAACGCAGATCATTGGCCATGTAGTCACGCGATGCCTCAGACTCCTCTAAATGAAGCTACTGGGATGCTCATGCTCTCTGGTTTCACCGTTTCACCAACTCAGCACTGCGGACTGTTGCCCTTCCTTATGTATTCGGTGATGTTTACGCAAAGTGCACCAGCACCTGCTCAAGATTATTAATTCCCTATAGAATCAGAAGCACATTACATTGAGACGGACGCATCCGGGCGTCATTTTAAAGCGCCATCATGTGGTCAAGAGCGCAGAGAGTGCACCAGCGACCTCACCACGTCACAGTGTCAGTGCCATAGGCATGCTGCTAGCCGGCCAAGCAAGCCGTGATATGTTCATGCGATGGAGCAGCTGGATGAAGCACCCTTCGAGGCAGGCGTGCTAAGACGAAAGTTGGACAACACTAAACTTGAGACAGGTGCCACAGCGGCGTCCTGAAACAGCACTTAGAATTCGTCCTGTGGCAAGGCCGGACGCATGCGCTTTTGGGTGACCCTGCTCAGTGGCGAGAAGGCCGGTGTAATGGGATCCGATGCAGTGATAGAGAATAATCGAGGAGCTTCTTGTGGACCCTTGCTGCGTGAGAGCTGATCAGCGAACATGCCGAAAGTTTGTTTCACGTACTGGTAGCTCAAATTCTGGAAGGTCCTGTTGCATGCAGGTGGTTAGGTACTTCCGGTGCGAAGCCTTCTGCGATGTGCTGAACGGCTGAGCAGGCCTGCGTTGTCGCGCAAAGCAGCGACACGCTTCGCCAACTCCGAGACGTGGCACAGCGAGCACTCGGCAGGCGGGACCTGCCCGTGCAAAACACTGCGCAAGTCTGCGTGCATGGTCAGTGATGGATGCAGCATGACCGGCCAGATGCAGCAAGATCCCGTGTTCGCTTTATGCCAGGATCCGAAACGTCCGCATGAATCGAAACCAGACACGGCTCTGACTCTAACGATCCCCTTACCTTCTCGATTCTCGAGCTGTAATTCAACTGGCCTGTCGAGAGCGGATGAGAGCGCGAGGCCTTTGCTGGGCTTTGCTCCGTCCGACTCCCCCGGCGAGGCAGGGCATCAGAAATGCCCAGATGAGATGCTGCGCTGCAGTTATCTTGCCATGACGAAGGTTAATCTTTTATCAACCTAGCAGTTGCATGCACAACTATAGAAATTCCGTCGTCCTCCGCCTCCTCCTCCTCCTCCTCCTTGTCCGTCGTTCTCCAATTGGTGCCATCATCGCCAGAAGAGTTTGACAAGTTGTCTTCACGGCAGCTGGCAAGGGACGGTGCTGTCAGATGCTACAGTGAGGCGAACATTGAAGGACACTCGCGAACGCCAGGCTATGTTCCAAAGCGAGGGCACCCAAAGCATGCTCATCAGGTGCCTTTGCCCTTGGATGCCACGATTGCGGAGCTGAATCTTCCCCAGGTTGGAGCCTCAGAGCTTACATTCAGCAAGGCCTTGGACAACTCGGCCTCCGACAATCCAAAGTTTACAGCGATCAGTGTTGTCGCTCGGCGATTTTTCCAAGACAACTTTCGTCCCTGGTAGGACTCCGTGCTTGCAGCCCTGGTCGGCCGCTTGCGTGCGCTGGGCCCTGTTGGTTGAGTTGCCGAGAATGCTGGGTGTCTTCGCATGCACATCTATCGGAGCTTGCGAGCTACGAAACGGATCTATTGCGCACGAATTCCAAAAGAGTTATGGTTAAGGTGGCTCTCGAATCGGCGTCGTTTGCTGTCAAGTCCGCACTTGAGGATCCGCCTTGAAATCGTTTTGGTTGCACATTCTATTCAACACCTCTCAGTTTGTTCCCCAAGGCACTATAGTTTCAGGGCTGCTGTGCTACACTGTACTTAAACTTAGTCTGTAGACATCGCAGCTGGGTGAGCCTTGCAGAATCTGGGTCACGGCTGCCTTGTGTTTGTGTGTGGCGTGACAACCTTCAAGTCAAGTGTAAGAAGTGACGGCTAGGAACGTGAGACGGATGTAAGCATCCTGAATCGACATGAGTAGTGATGCTGTTGCAGTAGCATTGGCATGGTTTCCCCCTTGAGCTGGTTGGCAGAGGGTGACCACTGTTTGAGGTTGCACTTTGCTTCTCCAACTTGCACATAGTTTCTTCGGCATCAGCTTAGCTGTGCAGCGACGAATCGTCGCCCTGACCCTCTCGATACCCGTGCTCGGATGGAGCCGAAATTACTTCCTGACAGGTGTGCAGAGCACACGATTTGCCTTCGCAGCTTGCCAGGCAAAGGTTCTTGTATTGTTCTTGCTGGTGGTGTAGGCTTGTGCTTGCCCCTGGGAACAGAGGCAGATGAAGTTTGGTTACGGTTGGCAACACACATGCGATTTCGCCCCGTCTGCTTATAATCTAACTAAGCACAACAAGCAATCCATTCGAGAAAGTCGTGCACGTGTCCCCTTGCATAAATCATGGCCGTGATATGCAGTGAGTCTCGAACAACTGAGCAGGGCGATGGCTCGGTGGTGTCATGGGGTTCGCCTTTCGCTGGTGGAGACACCAGTGAGGCCTGCAGGGGTGTGCGTGCCGCTGCATCCGAAGAGGTAACGGTAACGGGTAACGGTAGCTCTCAAGCTTTTCCTGTAGGTCGATCATGAGCTGATGGACGTCCAGGCGGGTGCGGTCGCACAAACACTTCAGGAACATCTCGCCTTCTATAGACGAACTCAAGCGCAGCAAACTCCAAGAGATACGCCAGAGTTCGATGTTGGTCTCTGACCACGCATTTGAGTGATTTCGAATTCCCAGGAGGTCGCTGCCAATTTGATGGCATTTGCTGCTATTCGTGTCGATGGCTCTGTGGTGGTGCGAGATGCCCAGCTGCTGGGGCTTTCTCGATTCAGAAAGCTGCAGCTACTCGTATTGTAGACAGCCTAGGGTCCCAGAGGCGCTAGACACGGCCATTACCGAATCTGTCGAGCAGTGCATAGCAGTGCCCTTCCTTTGCGCCTTGCATGCTGGTGTCGAACATGAGGTGGGGCCATCAGTCCTGCGGAGGTCAGATAGACGAGAGCTTGCAAGCGGCTTGGCTCGCCAATCACTTCGGGTCACAGTGATGCGGAGCTGCTTGCCACAAGCGATGCTTGCACCGACACGGGGAGATAACATGAACAGACGAAGGCCTGGCAACGTTTCAGTCAGCCCCAGATGGCACAGGCCAAGCTGAGTGAGAATGGCGGCGTGCGGACCTCGACGAGAGTCTGAAAGCCTGCACACAGCGCAGCGCCTACATAAGCGGACGACCACAACCCTAAAGTCGGGAGCTTTAGCTACGGAGCGATGTCACTTGCTGGTGGAGCCCTGATCCTTCACAAGCGAGGTCCGACGAATCGTGACCACAGACCGGGCCTTTGCTGCTTTGAAGCGCACTGTGCTTAGCGGCTTAGCGTCTGCTCTTGCTCCTCTACTTAGCTGTCTGCAAAAGCAGGAAGCCCCTAACTCCCTCAATCATCAGCCAGCTTTCGGTCTCGTATGTAGTGTTGAGATCAAAGGGGCATGTTGCGAAAATACACATGGGAAGTGTGATGCGAGCGAGGCGACGGCAGCGTTGTGAGCTGGGGCTGCATGTATCCAAGTGCACCTCGGCAGAAGGCAAAACTGCTGGACTTCAGCAGCTTTCCACAATCCACAAATTCCACAACCACAGCTGCGCCGCTCCGAGGCACAAACCCCGGACCTTGGAAGACGGCGAATTAGCCTGAAGCTGAGAAAGGATCCAGCTACAGTACGTGGTAGGCACGGCCTCGCCGTTTGTCGTATGGCTTCCTGCTCTCTTGTCAGTCTACCTGGTAGACAAGAGAGCAGGAAGCCATATGACAAAATTCGAGGCCACTGTGTAAGACAATAGAGGATAACTTCATGTGGGCTTCAACATCCTCTGAGTAGACAGACACAAAGACAGGCAAGCAAATAAAGGCATGTGTGTCGGCCTTCGTGCTACATGTTCCACTGTTGCCAGAAGAGCTGCTTTGCGTTTTCGCTAGAGGCAAACACTACAATGCCTTCCTCGCTGGCTTGCATAGCAGCTGCCTCTAATTAGCATGGACACAAATAGAGCTGAGAACACGTCGCTTGCTGTGCCGCGCTCACATCCATTCGGCGAAAACGTTTTGAAACGGAGCCTCGACAAAGCACGGGCAAACGCCAAAGTGACAGAAGCAGCGGGAGTCTCAGAAGGCTTAGTTGCTTCTACTGAATGAAACACCCACGGAGCAGGCTTGCAAGCTCCACTTCAGTGCCTACCAGATCTGTACAACAACATGTCGAGCAGTGTGCATGGAGCGCATAAGCTGAGAGGCAAGCATGCTGTTCATGTTGCTTTGTGCCGCTGCCTGACCCCCAACTGAGGGCACCGTGGTACCGTTTGGGCCATCTCATCTTGATACTTGTATTGTAGGCACTCGGCACCTGTAGCAGCGTAGCAGAGAAAAAGATTTGCAGGCAGCATCTACTCAACCCGCGCCGCCTTCGCAGCTGCCGTGGACTCATCTTGCCGCATTGATCTGCAACCTTTCCCATCTCGTCTCACAAATCACAGGTCCTGAGAGCGCTTTTGAGGTTGATGCAGACGGCGGCGTAGTTGCATGGGGCCACGCAGGCACAGCAGAAACTCCGAAATGCATTCCTGCTGCCGGTACAGGTGTGCTGCTGTTGTAGGAGACCTGGTCGCATCTCTTAGCGAAAGTGACCCGGATTTGCCAGCTTGCGGTGGCGATTGCACAGCTGTGGCCCAGCAAGTGCAGGCCAGGCCGGCTCTTTTGCAGTTTGGAACGTCAAGGGGCATGACGAGGAATTATGGGAACTGCAGCAGACACAGCGGATTTCCATCAAAACTTGTTCGGACAGGGGTGAAACATGTCCTGAGTCGGATTGACTGAAGCACTGAAACCTCGACTTCCTGACTCCCTAAAAGATTTGTCAAGGCTTGGTTGCTTTTCCGGCTCGCAGTCGGACTTGCTGTACTCCAGTCCTCTCAGCCTAGGGTTGATGTCTTGTCCAATCGACCAGGAAGGTGTGACGCGAGTGCGGCTTTGCTGCATGATTCGAAGCCTTTCATGCACATGCAGCTATTACGCCGCATGCTGCATGTTCCTGAGGTATTCGACCGACAACGCTTTCGCAGCGCTGCGACGCGATGGTTCTGTCTCCACCTCATCATCTCCATGCTTCTGCCGTTCAAAGCCTGTTTATATTGGACAGCTAGGCTTGAGCCAGTCCTCTTTGCTTTCCAGTCTTGATTTTACTTCGTCCGGATCCTTACGTAATTGGTCAGCCTTCGTTTGCAAAAGTTGTACAGCCGAGGTCGTGACTTGGGGATCCCAGACCGCCGGTGGCAACTCAGATGTCGTGCATGACCTGCTTCAACAAGGAGTGCAGAAGGCTCGGCAGCAGACGACAGCAAATCTATGGGACAGATTTCTGCAGGGCGTTGCAGATCCTCGAGACGAGTTATTTTCACATCTTGAGTCGGCCTTGAGGTTTCTGCAGAGCAGCAGGGATCGAGCTTGCTGCTGCTTAAGCTTCCTTGATGATGAGTTTTCAGTGCGGACTTTCCGATTCAGTGTAGACCTTCAAATCATTCTGAGAGTGCCCAGTGGAAAGATGGTGCCAGAGTCGCTCACATCAGGAAAGATAATGAGATGGTCCCATCGACAGAAGCATTGTGTCTGTCGTCTGTCATAAACTAGTCCTTTATCTGGCTGCAGGTGGTCGCAACAGAGGCTGCCTTCGCCGCTCTGTGTGCCGATAGAAGTGTGGTAGCCTGGGGCGACCACCTTGCTGGTGGAACTCTGGAGGCTGGATGCTTTGCGAGCGTGCCTGCAGACAGACACTTCGCGTTCTGCACCGTAGAGCTGCCAAAGTCTGTTGCGCAGTACCACTGTCCCACGGCAGAAGCGGCTTCATCAAAATTGACCCTCATGGCCGGTAGCGAATGTCGCTGGGTCAGGGCAAGTGTCTTTGATAGACTGCAGCCAGCTCTAATCTTGGGCTGCAGCTGTCAATGGCCCTGGATGTGTGAGTTTGGGGTTTGGCCAGGTTTGAACCAACCCACTGTGAGGCTGCAAGGGTTCAAGAGTGCGTTTAATCAGGATTGTGCCCGACCGTGAGTTAGCCTGTGAATCACAGCATCTCCCACTGCGGCGATTGATCACCTCACGCCAAAGGTGCCGCTGCAGGATGTTGCTGACCTTTGTTCATCGGGCAGTGCTTTTGCTGCACTGCAGATGGATGGAACCGTCCGGCGGGGAGCTCAATATGTGTTGCCTGTGTTGCAGGAGCGGTTCTTGCTGCACGCGTGACGATTCATTCTAGACAGGCAGTTCCAACACGACAGGGTGACCCGCCCAAGCAATCTAGGGTCTTTTCTTGCAGCAGGGCATGAGATTTGGTCCTCCAGCACGGCAGGTTCAAAAGTCAGCGGCTGCATGCTTCCTGCTAAGTGTAGCACACTGGCCCATGGAAAAGTTCGTCTTTGCAGACCATCGCGAGACTGACTAGTTTGAAGACTCTGGAAAGTAAATATCGATCTGTCCATTTGCCTGTTTGTCTCTCTCTCTCTCTCTCGCGCTTCTCGCGCTCTCCTTCGCTTTATCTCTCTCTGTCTCTCTGCCTCCCTCTCTCACTCTCTGTGCGTAGATATGCTTCCCACAGGTAGGAATATACATACACATGCGTGTGTAGGTCTATAACCACGCTGAGTCATATACACATGTCATGGGCTTCAAAGTTTACTTGACCAGATCTTCTCACGAGCTTTTGCCATGGAGACATGGTTGAAAGCTGCCAGAGAGCAAGCCGCAAAGATCGGTGACTTGGCTGTCCTGGCGTGGCCCAAAACAGTCCCAAAACACGTGGGCAGCAAAGCTTGGTGGGGGATGGGATATGTCTGGAATTTCGGCATTCTTCGCCCAGGCGAGGATATCCAGAAACAGGCCATCTTGCTGGCAGATGATGCCGCACAGAAGGGCAAGCGTGAGGTGAGTTTCCGCCCCTCGGATGCAGGTGTGCTGTGACATCCTGTGACATCAACACGGCTGCTGACGCTTGCCTAACCTGCAGGCGAGGGTGGTCTCGGCTTCGAGTTGAATGGCTCCTCTTCTCCAACTGAGAGTTCTACAGTAGTCCTGTGGGTTCGTCTGGATGAGGAGTGCGCACAGATACTAGTACACTTTGGCATGATGCAGCGAGGGGGGCTGGGCGAACCTGAGGTGTGTATGTTGCGTCGGTTGACACGGACGGCCAAGCGCACCAACTTGGAGTGCGACAAGGACGCATGGGTTTGGTTTCTGCACTTACTTTCCCTCCAACATTGTCGGTGAATGTCGGCTGGAGTTAGGCCGTTAGAGTTGGCGTTGTAAAACTAAGCACATCCATTTTAGTTTTCGACAGGAGACAAGCTTGTGTCCATCGCAGGCGCAGCTGAGAGGAATCTGAGGATCGGAGCTGCCTCATCCGCATGTTGTCTGTGCAGGCTATGTCATCCCCGAGAATCCCAAAGAGGAGTCTGTCAAGAAATGGTTGCTGCCTCACCTTCCGGGATCCTCTCCGTAGCGACCGTAGCATCCCAGTGCATCCTAGGCTCGACGAGATGATCCGGCCCGGGAGGCTCACGTTCCGAGCCCCAGAAAATCAATCAGTGAGTTCCGGAGCTTTCTACTCCATTTTGGCATCAGCGCTGCATGTTGTGGATGGGGGTCGGTGCATCCTTGCGCTGCGTTGGGGTCAGGCATGCAGCGGTGCATCTAGCAGAAGAGAAAGCGGGATCGTTTAGGACAGCTTCTGATTCCGATCGCACTGTGCAGCTCTATCGCTCCTGGACTAAGCTCTGAACCACACACGGGTGCGTCACATCTCGGAGCTTGAACCCGTGTACTTGAGGTTTGTGTCCGAGGCGATGAAGGACGGAACCATTTCGGCCTCTGCGGTTGTCTTCCCCAAAGAGGCAGACTTTGCAGTGTCTCGTCTCGAGTGCCAACTACCAATTGATGGGTTGCTGCGAGGTTGTTCCATGAAGCTACATGCAAGGACACTGGCCTCACATCATTTCCAGAGCCAAGCTGGCAAGAAGATGATGTGGTAGTGCTGCCCGAAATGTCGGCCGGAAAGGACCTCCTGCAGCATTACACTGTCAGTAGACTGCGGCAGTTCTTGCAGAAAGCGGAGGTTTGCATTGTCCTAACTTGTTACGAATATAAACACACCCAACTCACAACTGAACTGTCTTTGCTTCAGGAAGTTGCCATCTCAAAGGCATCTCCGCAGCATGCCTCTTCCCTCGCAAACGTCAGCACTGAGGCTTGCACCAAGGGCCATGTAATGCAACCAGCTACGTGAGTCGGCATGCTTGAATGAAGACTTCTTGCCAGACCCAACTTAGAGCTGAGCTTTATGCTGCCCGCGATGAAGTCCAATCGCTGGAGCGATCCCTGGCACAAAGATGCTGAATGCAATATGGGGTTTCGCCGATGAGTCATAGAGTGCCTGCGGGTTTCGATGTTATTAAAGATTGACAGCCACGATTCATCCAATTTAACGCAAGCTCCTAGGAGAGCTGGAAGACTGCCGCCAAGAGTGCTACGAGCTCCGCCACTTCGCAGCCGAGAAGGCGACCTAGCCAATTACCGAAAATATCGTCTCGTCAGCAAAGATGTCAATGTCGTGGATACAGCCGCCAGAGTTTCTAGGAAGACTCATCAATCCAGCGGGCCATAGCTGGCAGCTATAGGAGTTTTAGTTAGGCTTAATGCGAACATCCAGAATCCAGAACACCAGTCTCTGCTCGGCTCAGCGGCTGGAAGGCAGAGGACACCAGCTTGCGCTCCGGGTCTCGAGAAGCACTGCGCCTGCGAAGAGCCTGCTTCCGAGAGTTAAATGTAGAATCAGGTGGATTCTGATTCAGCTTCTGTCTGCTCTGCTGACAGATCAATGAAAGGGCCTGATCTGCGATGGCAGCTGTCAATGCAGAGATCTACTTCTTGTTTTCGAACAGCACGGCCTGCAGCTCTCGATCCTAGGTAGCAACACATAGCAACGCCATGAGCGTTTGTCAGAGGCGTTGGAGCAACTGGAGCAGGCGCAGAAGGAGGCCGAGGAGAGCCGCAGGGCTGTAAACGAGATGCGGCTCCCAGTCTTTCCAGAAGCAGCTGCGCTTGCCTTGTGCATCCTCGTGCGACGGTTCGCTGCTCGGAAATCATCTGCCCCGCCAAACCTGGATATCTAAGGAATCTAATGCCTGCGGGGGGTTTGCTTCGTGCCGTGCTGAGTGCTTGATTTTGCAGGAGTACAAGAAGAAAGCGCGAGACTTGCAGGCGATGCCCGCGGATTCCTATCCTGTACTGTACATCCAAAGCCGTGAACACGACGCACAGCCTGTTAAGACAGGCAGAGCACATACTCCCAAGTCCCACGCAAGGGGGCACAGCCCAAACATGCCAAACCTTTGTGCAGGACGATACAGTTGGATGTCTGGCAGTCTGACAATTACCGGCAATGTTTCTTTTCGTTGAATGAAGCATAGTCGGGGCCCGACCGAAATGAGGTGCAATGGTCAACAGCCTATACACCAGCGCGCTATGTGAAGTTGCATGGAAATGTTTGGGTCTGCCTTGAGCATGTTTTGAAAAAGTCGGGCTCTTTCGACATTAATGTCAATGCACAGAGAGGTCCGGCTCGAGACCTCGACGGCAGCTTGTGACTGGGAAAGCTGGGGAATGTCGGGTTGGGGCTGGGAGGGTTTGAAGCCTGGATGTCTACATCTTTCCTGCAAGAGTTGAACGTGTCAGGATTCGAGGCAGAGGCAGGTCGCGTCAGCCACGCAGCACTTGCCCACAGAGTCCGTGCAATTTAGGTGAAGAGCTGCGTTTGGAGTCTATGCAGAGCGAGGACACTGTCGAGCGATAAGTTGAGGAAGTCTAGTCATTGCGACAGCTTTGCACGTGAATTGGGCAACACGTGATCCATGAGATCATGGCATATCTATGGCCTGGTTGACCCTCCTGTACTCCCGCGGCTAGTTCCCCTAGGTTCCGGGTTATGTCGACATGAGGATCGCGCAATGGAAGCGATGGAGGGCCGGGAGCAGATACTCGAAGAGGAGGCTCCGCAGATGGTTTCAATGCCAGGTTTGTCGAGGACACTGGTCAGTTTCCGTAACCCACTTGAGCATCGCACTGATGCGTCTTGGCTCAGCCGTGCCGGTGCTGTCCCGGTCCGAAGATGGCACTGCAAAGCGCCCAGAGTGCCGAGGAGCAGCTGGTGACAGCCATAGCAAATGACGACGTGGAGGAGATGTTGACAGTCGGCTCTGACCAGAGTGTCACGAAGAGCATCGGGTCCATGCTGCATGTTGCTGCTATGTACAGCTCTGTAGCTTGCGTAAGGCATCTGGTGACAGACAAGGCTGACGTAAACTTGTGCAACAAGGATGGGTACAGTCCCATGCACTTGGCGTCAACTGACGGCGACGCAGAGGTAATTCGTTTGCTGCTTGCGGCAAGGGCAGACTTGAACCTGACAACCCCCGATGCCCGGGCAAGACTGATGAGAGGAGCCTTAGCCATCGATGCTTCTGGCGGTCGCAATGCCCTCCACCTGGCAGCTGAAAAGGGCCGGCTGGCTGCAGTGGAGGTTCTCTTTGCAGCATGCCCGGCACTGGCAGATGCTAAAGACTTTGATGGCGCACTTCCTCGAGACGTCGCCTTACGTGAGGGCGCTTTCGCTGCGAAGCTGGCGCCCAACCACAAAGCCATCGCGCAACTGCTAAACCCCGCGGAGGAGATTCCAGAGCTTGCGTGCTTGCGCAAGCAAGCAGACAGTGATGCTAAGAAGCGGAGGCAGCGGTTGGACGAACAGGAGGCTATAGCCAAAGCGGCGAAAGCTCGGCTGACAAGTAGGCCCCCTTCTGACTATGGCTATCAGGCCAAGTGGCCAGAGATTTACAAGATGCAGGTTCGCGATGTCATTCCATGTCTGAACCACGAGCTCCGGGCAGCCCTGTCTCTGAAATCGGAGCAGCGACACAGCATCCTGAGAAACCTGTGCGAAGAAATAGCTGAAGGCGTCTTCTCTTTCCAGATGGTGCCAGAAGCAGACGTGACCAGCTTAAACACCAAGCTCCTGGAAGAGATTGATGGCGTGGAGGAGTGGGCAAAGCAAAGTGCCTGGGAGCTGCGGCGTCCGAATTCGATGAACCGCTCCGTGGCCGCAGCCACGAACTAAAGGTTTGAAGGCCGCTCGTACCGC